TGCAGCTTTAGGAGTCACATGACCAGATGCTGACGTCACACTCAGGTTACCAAAGTTCACTTTAAGCAGCACATACAGCACACAGCAGACATATAAATAAATAATTATACAGTATGTGTGTATATTTCTGCGTACATGCTGATGTTCATGTCAGCAGACCCTGCAAAGCTTACCCACGTCTTTATTTCCAGTAGCTTGGCTTACTGCAGAAGTCAGTTCACAGGGCTTTCAAAAAACACTCTTCATCAACTCCAAGTTATTCAAAACACCGCTGAAAACTAGGAAATACGACCACGTTACACTAGTCCTAAAATCCTTACAAATATATCTCTGCTGAGATTCTTGTACCATACGAACCTCGGAGAACCCCGAGGACATATCTGGGACCAGAGGGTGGGTAGCCAAAAACTGGACTCAAGTAGAAGTACAGAAGAAGAACAGTGGCCATCAAAATGACTGAGCAAGAGTACAAAAGTATTTACTGAAACTAAAAGTATTTTATTTGCTGTGGAATCATTTGGTCTTCCTCAGGTAGCTTCAGTGGTAGGATTACAGACACCAGCTGACCACCTGCTTTTGAGCAGATCATGAATGCATAAAATACTAAACAAATAAAAGCAGCGCGATGAATATATCCACACGCACCAGTCATGATTTTTCTATTCAAGTAAGAGGAAAAGTGATGATGCATTGAAAATACTCTGACAAGTACAATTTACAAAAGTAACTTGAGTGAAGGTAACGGATGAACTTTTTTTTACCTGTATTTATTCAGGGGAGCTTCACTTTCTTTTGCAGGAACATTCACACCTGGAAGCTGCCCAGTACAACCGCAGCCTGGTCTGCTCCACTGGAGCTGTTGGGGTTATGGGTTATGGGCCTTGCTCAAGGGCACCTCAGTCGTGGTAAATGAGGAAGGACAAGCACTGCTTGGTTTACTTTCCACACCCAGATTTTATTCTGCCGGTCCGGGGATTGACCGGCGACCTCCCGCTCAGAAGCTTGCTTCTCTAACCTTCGAGCCACCACTGCCCCAAACTCCCATCACACACAGTTGCAGGAAAACATTTCTGAACCCTTTGGAATCACCTGGATTTCTGCATAAATTGGTCATAAAATGTGATTTGATCTTCATCTAATTAAAACGTATGTGAACCCTTGAATTTAATAACTGGTTGACCCTCCTTGGCAGCAACAACCTCAACCAAACGTTTCCTGTAGCTGCAGATGAGACCTGAACATTGGTCAGGTGGAAGTTCCTCGTTACAAATCTGTTTCAGTTCAGCAACATCCTTGGAAAGTCTGGTGTGAATCACGCTCTTGAGGTCATGCATCTCAGTCGGATTGAGGTCAGGACTCCAGAAGGTGTATTTTCTTCTGCTGAAGCCGTTCTGTTGTTGATTTACTTCTGTGCTTTGGGCCATTGTCCTGTTCCACCACCCATCTCCTGAGGAGCTTCAGTTGGTGGATAGATGGCTTTACATTCTCCTACTAAATATCTTGATAAACGTTGGATTTTCCGTCAATGAAGACTTCTCTTGGATGAGAGATGAAACAACTTCTAGTATCTTCAACCAAGTCCAGTTGCCCTTGACCTCAACCTTCGTTGGATAACTATAACCTGGATGACTGAGAACCTTCACAGATGATAGCAGCCCTTCCAGGCCCTGAGGCAGCGAAGCAGCCCCAAACCATGATGCCCCCTCCACCATACCTCACAGTTGGGATGAGGTTTTGGTGTTTTTCCCTACACATATAAGATTGTGTGTTCCTTCTAAACAACTCAACTTTGGTTTCATCTGTCCACAGAATATTTAGCCAGTAGTGCTGTGGAACATCCAGGCGCTCTTTGGCAAACTTCAGACGTGCAGCAGTGTTTTTTTTGGAGTTTTCCTCTGTGGTGTCCTCCCATAAACTCCATTCTTGGTCAGTGTTTTATGTATCGTAAAGTCGTCAACAGAGATGTTAGCATGTTCCAGAGATTTCTGCAAGTCTTCTACTGACACCCTACGTTCCTTCTTAACCTCACTGAGCATTCTGCTCTGTGCTGGTGCAGTCGTCTCTGCAGAACGGCCACTCCTATGGAGAGCAGCAACACGCTGAACTTTCTCCATTTTATAGACAGTTTGTCTAACTGTGGACTGATGGACATCAAAACTTTTAGAGATACTTCCGTAACCTTTCCCAGCTTCATGCAAGTTAACAATTCTTAATCTGAGGTCTTCTGAGAGCTCCTTTGGTCGAGGCATGGTTCACATCAGGCAATGCTTCATGAGAACAGCAAAATTAAAAGTGATGTGTTTTTTATAGGGCAGGGCAGCTCTAACCAACACCTCCAATCTTGTCTCATTGATTGGACACCAGGTTGGCTGATTCCTGACTCCACTTAGCTTTTAGAGAAGTCACTAGCCGAGGGGTTCACATACTGTTTCCACCCTGCCCTGTGATTGTTTACACGCTGTGTTCAATAAAAACATGTAACACCTAATTACATTAGGTGATTCCAAAGAGTTCACATACTTTTTCCTGCGACTGTGTGTACACTTGGTCAAGACCCCTTTACATCGCTTGTTAACGCCCTAGGAACCCTTTTTTCCCGTTTTTCTACATTTAGGGCGGTCAAATTATCAACAATAAATATGCAGCGTCTGGTTACGCTGTCAGACTTAAGTATGTTGTGGGATGTCGCGGTTTGGTGATGTTTAGAGAAAGATCACAGTTTGGGTTAAAATAACTAGGTATGTTACTAACATCAGTTAACTTCTGTAACCTCACTCGCTCATCGTCAACCACTTATTCTGTGTGCAGGGTCGCTGGGGCCTGGAGCCAATCCCAGCTGACATCGGGTAAAGGCGGGGGGGTAACCTTGAACAGGTCGCCAGTCCATCACAGAGCCACGCATATACAAACAACCACTCACATTCATGCCCAAGGGCAATTTAGAGTCACCAGTTAACCTGCATGTCTTTGGACGGAGGAAGAGAGCCGGAGAGAACCCACTGAGACACGGGGAGAACATGCAAACGCCACACAGAAAGGTTCAAACCCAAGACCTTCTTACTGTGAAGCCACAGTGCTAACCACTGCACCACCGTGCCGCCCTCTTATGTAACCTATGGAACCTGACTTTTTGTTTCACACGGGAAACAAACGCTGCTGAAATAAGACGAGCCCCAACTCTGACCATCTGTAAGGGAAAGCTCAAAACTACTTGGCACAGTCCAACTCCTCCGAGTGACGGCTGAAACCTGCCTTAGCTTTGAAATCGGCTCGTTTTTGTTGTTTTAAATTGTTCTTAATTTAATTAAATTGTGCATCTAAATCTCGGCGTATTTGCCGTCTTCCTCTGTCTTTTATTTTCATCTCTTGCCTGTACTTCTGCACTTGCACCTTGCGAAGCACGATGAAAGGCCCGGCGTATGAACTGATCTGGACTCTGAAAGGAAACCTGTGACCCTGTGAAACTGGGTTTGATTGGTCAAAAAGGAAAAACACCACTTCATTATTACAGGATGAACACGTCACGTGTTTCAGGTTCGGGGTTAGCAGATGGAGCTGAGGCATATTAAAAGCTGAGGTAAACCGACAGCAGGTGTGTGGGGGCCTCGGGGTCCCCAGAGTGCTCTATAGTCATCCGATCCGTACTCCGTCCTTTGAAGGGACCTGGTACAGAACCACCGTGAGTACAAACACCATTTTTTTAGACCAAAGTCAGAACCACTGGTCACTATTTTCAGTTGGACAAGGTTTCTTTGGAACTGGACCAATGAAGTCCAGCTGGACAACAGGACGCCATGCTGGGTGGTCGCGCCCTGCATTTCAGCCAGACAAATAAATATATTAAAAATATAAAAAATAAAAGTTAATAAATAAAACAGTAAGTGTGTGAGTGTGTGTGTTAATAGACCAAAAAAATGCATTGATTAATTTAAAGAAAAGAAGTAACTAAAAAATCTGTATCAAATGTGAAATTTAAAAACAAAATACAAATAAAGGAATAATTACGAAAATATCAAAATAATAAAATCTTCTAAATATTATTTCTTTAGACTGTAAAGCCAGTTTGTTTTTCTGCGTCAAAACCGCCTGTTTGTCTAGTGACAATAAATGTTTAAAGTAACACTGTGACCTGCTTGAAGTGTTTTATGTCTTTGGATTTTATTGTAGGCAAAACTTTGAGAGGCTGAAATTGATCGTCATCTTGCTTTCGGCTGCTGGCCGCTTGGTCATTGCTTTAAACAAACTAAAATATTAATTTAAAAAACAAATATTTTGTTGACACAACAGACGGCACAGCATGGCCTCGGCCCACAGGAGGGGTCCATCTCTGGCCCTGGGTTGTGTTTAGAAGAGTAAAATAATGAAAGACTTAAATAGGAGGAAATAGAACATGTTTTTATGTTTGTTTGTTCCTCTTTTTCATTTGTAGGTCAAGATTTTTTTTATTAAATCAATAAATAAAACAAGAGCAGGACAGAAAACATTACAGGGGCCTCACTTTGTGTTGAAAAGTGGTGGGGGGCCATAAGGGCTCAGGTTGGGGGGAGGGGGGAGGGGCGGGTGGAAATGTCTTTATTTATATGAAGGGAAATTCAGCTGGCAGGTGACAATTCATAAATATATAAATATAATCCTGTAATGAGCAGCTTGTTTTGTTTTTAGCTTAAGTTACTTTGTTTCTTCTATATTTAAATTGCATCATTTTCTTAATGTGCAAATAAACTTTTCTCAAAGCATTTTCATTTGTTAGTTAACAAATCTCCAGGGTAATGACACCCATGGTCCATTATAATTTACTTTTGAAATAAAAACAAAAGTAAAAAGATGATTTGTCAGGTTCTCAGGGTCTGTAGTGGAGACCACTTCTATCAAATATATTTTTATTTTTAATGACATAATTGATTCAGTATTTTATTGGGGGCGGAGAAGAACAGAGACACGCAGCAGCCGGCAGGGGGCGGCACTGCACCTGAAGGCCGCCAATACAACTACAGAAGAAGAAGTTAGCCGCACAGGGGCTTAGCATGCTAACCGGAAGTTAGCCTCGCAGCGCAGCTCAGAGTGAAAACAGAGTTCGTGGAGAAAAGTTTCGAGCGATGGAAATGAGTAAAGTCCAGGTGCTGAGAGCGTTGGTGAAGCAGCGACTGAGTGCGGCTGCTGAAGAGATATTCGGGCTGTTTGAAAGAACGATATCAGAGTACGAGCAGGAACTCTGTCGGTCCAAAGAGGAGAACCAGAGACACCGGAAGCTGCTGGACGCGGTGTTCCAGCCTGAAGTCCGGCTGCACAGAGCAGGTCGGTTCTCTTCATATTTACTCTGAACTGCTGCCTGCTGTTCAGCCTTTAAACTGCCTTTCAGTTCCTCCGTCACGAGGCATTTACGTCTTAGAAACATTAACTCCCGGTTAGACAGGCTGCTAGTTTTTACCCAGACATGTGATCAATCTGTCCTCGATGTGTGGACAGAGGGTTGTCTTCAGAATCAAACCTGTGTGCGTCTCTATAATAAGTGTTCACACACAACGCGAGAAGGAGATTTTAACGCGATGACGTTAAGAAACAACTCGCCTTTACTCCAGCTGTATGAACCCAAAGTGAACATTTTGCTGTGATTAAAGAGCAATAAACGGATCAAACTGATGCCGAAATAACGACAACATGATGCAGATTTGTTAAACATATGAATTCATGCTTTGTCATGTCTGTCAGCGAGACAGCAGGACAACAACTTCTAAAATGTTTGTTTTCTGAATGGAGTTCGGATCGATCAGGGCTATGCTATGCTAACTTGGTCACAGTAAAGTACAACGACAGCTGGAATAAAGTTACAGACACGTGTTTTCTGACCAGGTAGTTCAACCTCCAAGCTTTCTTTTCTCCCAGCAATGTCCGGTTTTTATATAAATTTGAAGTAGTGCCAAACGACTCTAACAACAACACTGTGTGCACGGAAGCTGCTGAGAAGCTCGAGTGAAGATAAATCAAGTTGTAATCCTATAAACTAAAGTAAAAAGCTTATTTAATGAAAGCCGTTTACTCCGAGCTCCGATGAGGGGGACAAAGAGTTTTTAAGTGTGTTGGTGGAGCTGGGCTGGACAGCAGTCACTGAACACACTCCTCTGCCCGATGAAGGTGGTCTGCAGAGGGTGCTGGGCGTAGTCCAGTATGGACAGCAGTTTGTCCAGGGTCCTTCTTTCCTTCTTCAGAGAGTCCAGCTCTGAGCCCACCACTGAGCCAGCTCTCCTCACCAGTCTGTCCGGTCGACCGGCGTCTCTCTTCTTGCTGCTTCCCAGCAAACTGCAGCATAAGAGGCAGATGCAGATGTTGAAGGACCCCAGCCCTCTCAGGAAGCATAGACGACTCTGCCCTTTCCTGTGGAGAGTGTCCATATTTGCTGTCCAGTCCAGCTTGTCATCCAGCTGCAGCCCCAGATATTTGTAAGTCCTGACCACCTCCACATCGACCCCCTTGATGGACACAGGCTGGAGATGTGGTTTCTTCCTTCTGAAGTCCACCACCATCTCCTTGGTCTTGGAGGTGTTCAGCTGCAGATGGTTGGTGCTGCACCACCTCACGAAGTCCTCTACCAGGCTCCTGTACTCCCCCCCTCCTGTCCATCCTTGATGACGTGTTTTTATAGGGCAGGGCAGCTCTAACCCACACCTCCAATCTCGTCTCATTGACTGGACGCCAGGTTGGCTGATTCCTGACTCCACTTAGCTTTTAGTCCCTAGCTGAGGGGTTCACATACGGTTTCCACCCTGCCCTGTGATTGTTTACACGCTGTGTTCAATAAAAACACGTAATGTCTGGTTTTAGTTTAAGCAGACTGTGTTTGTCTGTTGTGACTTCAGATCACATTTTATGACCAATTTATGCAGAAATCCAGGTAGATGGATGCATGTCAGTGGAGGCTCCTCTGGTATTGGTTGAAATAGACGTAGTGGGCGGAGGCTCGTCCTCATGATCCCCCATGATGGTCTGAGCCTGACACCTGGTGGCCAGTTGGGAACATCTGCACCTGCTGCTGAAGGACGCTGACGGTTGATATTTCCTGTGTAGCCTCGAAGTAGAGCTTGTGTGTGTGAACTACGTTGTTAAGGATCACGGCCAGCTGTTTACTTATATATTTAATTTATCTTAGCAAAAACCAAACACTACTTTGAACACGCCCTGGTGAACCGGTACTTGTGATAATTCATCGTTGAGAATAAAATATTGGAATTGGAAGTAAGCTTTGTTTGTCTAATTGGAAATCAGGCCAGCTTGGACTCAACCGGAGCGGGGTGGTGATCAGTCAGCTGCCTCGTGTTGAATACAGGTGCATCTCAGAAAGTTAGAATAACTTGCATCAGTCCACTCCTTGTGGAGCTCCCCTAAGTTCTTGAATCGGCTGCGGTTGTCCCTGTTGCTTGTGCACCTTTTCCTGTCACACTTTAACCTTCCGGTCACTTTAAACATGCTTTGATCCAGCAGCCAGCCCTTTCAGCCGGGACCCTCTGTGGCTCACCCTCGCTGTGGACGGGGTCAACGAGTGTCTTCTGGACAACTGTCAGGTTTCTAAGGTTCTCATAATTTGAGATACGGATTGGATTTTTGATTTCCATGAGCTTCAGGGCTCCAGACTAACTTTTCCACTGGTAGCACCATGAGGAATGAGGAGGGATGTGAGACGCATCTCTGTTAGCGAATAACATGCCAAAGACAGTGATGGTGCACTTCTACACCGCCATCATTGAGTCCATCCTCACCTCCTCATTACCATCTGGTACGCTGCTGCCACCGCCAGGGACACCGCCTGGTACGCTGCTGCCACCGCCAGGGACAAGAGCAGGCTGAAGCCCCCCCCCGTTAAAGAACACAAATGTCTCTGCACATCGGAATTTTACTTCATTTCATATCATGCACAAACCTGGAACGTCGCACATATTTGTTGTTAATTGTTGCTGTTCTATATTTTTATATTGTCAATTTATATATTTATGTACACAAAATTCTCGCCCATTGCAACACGTATCCACAACACAAACCGGAGTAATACACATGTAAATATCAGCCACGTTGTTCTTTCTCTGCAAATAGTTGTATTATTTTTCTTTATTATTCTTGAGCGGGTACGTTTGTTATGGAGAGTCCGCCCTCGGTGAGTGTTCAGTTCCTGTTAGAAACCTCCTGAACGATCAACACCAAAAGGAATCCTAAACTAAAAACAAACTGAGCAGCTAAACTGAGCTAACGTTAGCAGCAGCATCTCAGCAGGAAACACACCCGCTGCTAGCTGGTTATGTCTTCAGGTCCTCCTTGACCAATCGGCAGTCTGTTTTCACATCACCTGTTGGTATTGCCTCAGCTCACCTGGAATCTCGCCGGAGGTGATACCAATTACCCAAATACTAAAATGGTGAGACCATTTTTTGCAATGGGAAACACTAAAAAGCTGAGTAGAGTCGAGGTGAGTCGAGCTGGTACCATACGCTGGAAAAGGAGCTTTTGTAAAGAAAAAACTGTGTAACAGCTGAGCTCTTTATTCACAAATAAAGTGGGTTTCAAACAGAGTTTAGATCTTAAATAGATGACAAATAGTGTCCCTTACGTTTATCATCACATTAAACTTTCAGATCAGATCAAATGCTGCTGAATGCCAGCCGTACCTGTTTCATCTCCTTCATGTACCTGCAGGAGTTCATCAGAGCAGGTGATATGTGGCTGGTACATCAGAGGAAACAGCTGACTTTACATGAACTAAATAAATCACATTATTAAAGGTTATTAAATTAAATCATCTTTATTTTTGAGTCACTATTATTGGTTCATGTATTAATGTTTTTGCTGTGGTGGCTTTTGTTACTATGGTAACTTCTTGCATTATCATTTCTCCCATAATGCCTCTGTGTTTCAGTGAGTCCTGCAGACGTCCAGCAGCTGTCAGGGAGCAAAGAAGAGGTTCCTCCTGAGCAGCAGGAGTGGAGCCTCAGTCTGGACCAGGAGGACCCAGAGCCTCCACACGTTAAAGAGAAGTGGAGCCTCAGTCTGGACCAGGAGGACCCAGAGCCTCCACACGTTAAAGAGAAGTGGAGCCTCAGTCTGGACCAGGAGGACCCAGAGCCTCCACACGTTAAAGAGAAGTGGAGCCTCAGTCTGGACCAGGAGGACCCAGAGCCCCCACACGTTAAAGAGGAACAGGAGGATCTCTGGACCAGTCAGGAGGAAGAGCAGCTTCCAGGGCTGGAGGACGCTGATATCACCAAGTTCCTATTCACTCTTCTCCCTGTGAAGAGTGAAGAAGATGATGAAGAGGAACCTCAGTCCTCACAGCTTCATCAGAGCCAAACTGAACAGATGGAAACAGAAGCTGAAGGAGAGGACTGTGGAGGACCAGAACCAGCCAGGGACTCTGCTCCAGACAGACTTTTACAACCTGAGACTGAAGACAGGACTCTGAGAGTCCCTGTCAGTGATGTGAGATGTACTATGAAGAAACCATTGAGCTGCTCTGAGTGCGGGAAAGGTTTTCGCCATATGCCAAATCTGAAGATGCACATGAGAACCCACACGGGCGAGAAACCCTTTACTTGCTCAGTTTGTGGTAGAGGGTTTTCTCAGAAGGCAAACTTAAGTCGTCACATGACACGTCATACAGGAGAGAAACCGTTCAGCTGCTCTGTTTGTAAGAAACGTTTTAGATACAGAGGAGACGTTGGGAGACACATGAAGATTCACACAAGGGAGAAACTGTTACTCAGTGAGATCCACCAAGAGTCAGAACCAGATAAGACTGAAGACGGTTACGGTGGCAGGGAGAAGACCAGAGGACCTCGGTCAGGTTTAAACCCTAACAAAGTCCCTATCCATGTGAGACCTAGTACTGACAAGAAACCAACCACAAGATTTAGTCAAAAGGGAGATCTGCTGACTCGCTCGAGGATTCATACAGGAGAGAAAACCTTTAGTCGCAGAATCTGCGAAAAAAGCTTCACTCAAAACCTACATCTGACAAAGCACATGGCGGTCTGCTCAGAGGAGTGCAGCACCTGGGATCATCAGCTCCGAACCCCCAGGTGCGTTGGTCCTCAGTCCTCACAGCTTCATCAAAACCAAACTGAACAGATAGATGCTGATGGAGAGGACTGTGGAGGACCAGAACTAGCCAGGGACTCGGATCCGGATAGACTTTTACAACCTGAGACTGCTGATTCTGGAGTTGAAGTCAGTGATGGTTGGAAGGAGCCCAGAGGACTTCAGTCAGGTTTAAACTCTCTGAGAAGTAATGGAGTAAGTGATAGTACTGCTGAGAAACCACGTAGTTGCTCTGTTTGCGGTAAAGGTTTTAGCCGCAAATACTCTCTGAAAATCCACATGAGGATCCACACAGGAGAGAAACCGTTCAGCTGCTCAATTTGTGGTAAACATTTTAATCAGCGCTTCCACTTTGTTGAACACATGAGGCGTCACACAGGAGAGGACACGTTTGACTGCTCGCTGTGTGGTAAAAAGTTTGGTTACAATTTCCGACTGAAGAATCACATGAGGACTCACACGGGAGAGAAACCGTTCGGATGCTCGCTCTGTGGAAAAAGATTCGCCCAAAAAGGAAGTCTGAGACAACACATGTTGCTTCACACATGATAGGAAGTCTCCAGGAGAATCACTGGACTCTGGTCAGCGTGTCGATGAAATCCTGAAACTGCTGAGAAACGTTCCACTTTACATTTCTTACAACAGAATTCAAATGGTAGAACAATGTGGACCATGTGGAAATAAGACCTGGGGTTCCTCAGGACTCTTTTTGTCTGTTCTCACTTCGGCCGTCAGCGTGGACGGCAGAGATGTGACAGGAAATCAGCTGGTGGTACAACAAAAGTCTTAAACCCCACCAAGTGTTTGTACAAAGCCCTCAGAAGGTAATAAAAGCTGTTAAATGTGGTGAATAAACGCTGCTGTAATGTTCTCAAATGTTTCTGTGGCTGTGTTTGGAATCGCTGTGAGCCAACTGCACATACTCTCACCACCCAACATCAATATCAACTTTATTTATATATCACATCTAAAACGACCACGATACTTTCCAAGGTAAAAGTACAACAATAATAAGAGTACACAGTCTATCAGAGTCTATGACATATAATGGTATTAAAATCTCCTGGGAAAATAAGTTTGTTCACTTGAAAGAAAAGCCAAAGAGATGTTTTGTCACTCTGCAGGCTGCGAGGCGGGCGGATCACTAGCTGTAGTTTTTATTTTTATTTTTTTATAACAAGCAGAAACCTCCAGGTCTGAAACTGAAGCCAGTGCTGAAGCTTAAACCTGCGTCCTCTCCAGCAGCCAGCAGGGGGCGACTCCACCGGCTGCAGAAAGAAGTCTCTGAGAAACTGTTTCTACTTGTCAGCTGATTTATTCCCTCAGTAAACACTTTCCTGATGAGTTTCTGGTCTCAGTCGCTAGTTTCAAGTCTTCTTCAACACAGCATGATGTTCATTTAGTAAATTATGGTCCCATTTAGAGGAACAGAGACCAGGAAGCAGGGGAGGCTTTAGGGCGGGGCTACAAGCTGATTGACAATCAGGATAGAGGCGACTCGTATCCGCTGCTCTGTGTAAATTTAACCAGCGCCGCTGAAAAAGCTCATCAGGAGTCGGCTGCTTGTTTGTCCGGTAAGAACGTTTTGTTTTTAGCCTGTTTGTCGCTAGCTAAAATTAGCATCACAGTTAATGTGAATTACAGATGCACCTTGCTAACCAAGCTAGCTAGCTCCACCCTCTCATCCAAATATGGTCAAATGCCAAACTGGAGGCTTCAGAACGGCGGTCCACAAACCAACGGGGGACGTCACGGCTGGCACGCCCACTTCTGTTATCCAGGCTGTGTTTTTACTAAAATTGATGCCCAAGCACTGAAGGAGGACCTACTAGCACTTTTACGCCACCAGATCTACAAAAACATCAAAGGTAAGACACTTCGTAGCTGTAAATGTCTGAACGTATGTTTGTTATTTAATGAGTTCTCCTGGTGGAACCTGTGGAGGCTCAGCACCGTGTTCAGTGTCCTGCTACGCTCAGTCAGGTGCTCGGTGTTTGATGTGTGTTTTTGTAAAAGTAGTTAGCATTAGCTGTTAGCTGAGCTGAGCTCTGTTACAGGGTAACTAAACTTTATTTTCCATGTGTCTGGGTGATCATCGGATCAACCTTGTTTAAACTGGTCCAGTACTGATCGAGCTCGCCGCAGTCAGCAGCAGGGAAACAGGGCTGCAGTAATCCTCACCGGTAACTGTTCTCCGTCCACTAAAGAGCTTGTTTTTGCTGCTGACAGGCTCACATTGTTTTTACAAGGATCCCTGCAGAGAGTTGAACCTGTTCAAAGCCACCAGACTCCATTGATAAAAACTGTATTTTTACCTGGCAGAACACGGGAGCCCACCGCTGCCTCTTCAGTCAGTTAGTTTGTGTTATTGTGTGATTTCGTTGTCTGACACAGACTAACCCATGGAGGCGGCGGTAGACCGGAGAGGTAAACGACTGTTCTGAAACAGGAGTCATTCTTCAGGTCGACCGTGCGGCATGAGGTTGCGTGAAGAGGCTTCTCCTTGTTGCACGTGCGTTCTCCTGTTAATAATGGTTCCTGAGTAGCACAGGAAAGGAAACTCTTGTATTAGCAGTCTGGGCCTGTCAGCGCAGAAAGCAGCTCTTCAGTGGACGGGGAACAGGTAAGGATTACTGCAGCGGACCAGTTTCAAAACATGTTGTCTCCATTAGCCTCCTAATGTCCCGCCCCCTCCAGGCTGTGATTGGTTGTTTTAGGAAGAGTGACATTGACGGCGCCTCACCTTGTTTGAACCAAAGGCAGCGATCAGGTTCCGTGATCCTGGTTTTCAAGGAGAAATCCCAAGACTGGTTCTCTTCTCGTCTTTCACAAACCATCAGCAGCCGGAGGGACGTCGTCTCACTCCGATTCTGTTCTCCTGGTGCTTTGTGGGAGGTTTATAAAATATCAGGTATATATTTAACAATAATATGCTAATTATTCTTTATTTTACACTCTGCCCCCACAGTGTCTGCTTACAAAACTGCTACTGTTAGCTACGGCGGCTACTGTTAGCTACGGCGGCTACTGTTAGCTACGGCGGCTACAATGGCTACAGTTAGCTACGGTGGCTACTGTTGACTACGGCAGCTACAATGGCTACTGTTAGCTACGGTGGCTACTGTTGACTACGGCAGCTACAATGGCTACTGTTAGCTATGGCGGCTACTGTTAGCTACGGTGGCTACTGTTGACTACGGCAGCTACAATGGCTACTGTTAGCTATGGCGGCTACTGTTAGCTACGGTGGCTACTGTTGACTACGGCAGCTACAATGGCTACTGTTAACTACGGCGGCTACTGTTAACTACGGCAGCTACTGTTAGCTACGGCGGCTACTGTTAGCTACGGCGGCTACTGTTAGCTACGGCGGCTACTGTTAGCTACGGCGGCTACTGTTGACTATGGCAGCTACAATGGCTACTGTTAGCTACGGTGGCTACTGTTGACTACGGCGGCTACAATGGCTACTGTTAGCTACGGTGGCTACTGTTGACTACGGCGGCTACAATGGCTACTGTTAGCTACGGTGGCTACTGTTGACTACGGCGGCTACAATGGCTACTGTTAGCTACGGTGGCTACTGTTGACTACGGCGGCTACAATGGCTACTGTTAGCTATGGCGGCTACTGTTAACTACGGCGGCTACTGTTAACTACGGCGGCTACTGTTAGCTACAATGGCTACTGTTAGCTACGGTGGCTACTGTTGACTACGGCGGCTACAATGGCTACTGTTAGCTACGGTGGCTACTGTTGACTACGGCAGCTACAATGGCTACTGTTAGCTACGGTGGCTACTGTTGACTACGGCAGCTACAATGGCTACTGTTAACTACGGCGGCTACTGTTAACTACGGCGGCTACTGTTAGCTTTGGCGGCTACTGTTAACTAGGCAGCTACAATGGCTACTGTTAGCTACGGCGGCTACTGTTAGCTTCGGCAGCTACTGTTAGCTTCGGCAGCTACGACGCCCCCTTTGGAGGTCTTCTGGCAGGTAAAGCTGGGAGCAGACCCCGGGAAGCCCGAGACCCCGCTGGAGGGGTTAATATCACACCTGGCCGGGATCTGGGAGGAGCTGGAAAATGCTGCAGAGGAGAGGGACCCTGGAGAACCCTGCTTAGCCTGCTGCCACCCGACCTGAAGAGCCGGAAGATGATGGATTATTGATTACTGATTTTCAGTTAATACATTAATCTGAAACATGTTGGACGGGTTAGGGTCAGGTAACCCTCTATTCTGTGAAGAACTTTAAACTCCTGTAAACAATGTTGTGCTCTAATCAACTATTTGATCATAAACCCATTGTAGAGTTTTAAATGGTGATGAAACAGCAACAAACATCAACAAATTTATTTAATGTTTTTCCAGCAGCCCTGAATCAAAGAATAGAAAATAGAAAAAGTGATTTCCAGATCATTTTACTGTTTTTACTTTTAATGGACACATATAATATGTTTTCTACTTTCTGTGAATATAATCCAATGAATCTTATTTCCATCCTGTACAGACGCCTTATTTTGAAAACCGGGCGTTGTCATGTGTGCATCCTCCTCGCGCTGAATTCATCCAGTCCGACCCGGTTTGATAAATAATGTTGTAACATGAAGACTTCACAGCCTCTCTTCATACTAAAGAGACAAACTGACAGGATAAAGTCTCTAACCTGCCTGTCAGCTCGCTCTGGGCCGCTTCACTTACCGTAAAGGCTGGAATACGTGTGCACTCCAAATGTAGTCGCAGCTAGCTTAATCTCCTTCTCACAGATGAGACAGAAACAGACCGCTACCGTAGTTACCTTAAGTGACTAAGCGGTTGTCTCGAGCTAGATGCCAAAATGTGTGAGCGTGTGAGCTCGCAGGAGCACCCATAGGCCCGAGGTCTCTAACATTATTATGGAATGTGTGAAAATATTTTCGGTTCATTTTGAAACTATGGCGGAGCAAATAAATGTCTCGTTAATTAATGGGAAACACTGCATCACTTCCTGTAACCGAAGAGAGTCAATAGGTGTGTTTGACTTCATGCGGCGCTGCGCTGAACTACCGGCCTGTGGCTCTCACCCCCATTCTGATGAAGTGCTTTGAGAAACTGGTTCTTCAGCACATAAAGAACAACATCCCAGCCAGCCTGGAACCTCGCTCAGCACTCTGGGTTTAAACACAACACTCTGCAGCTGGATACTGGACTACCTCACAAACAGACCCCAGTCAGTTCGGATTGGCGGACTCACCTCCTCCACTCTAGTGCTCAACACCGGAGCCCCCTCCTGTTCACGCTGTACACCACGACTGCATCCCCCGACATGGAGAGAACTCTGCTGTCAAGTTTGCAGACGACACCACCATCATCGGCCGGATTTCAAACAACGATGACCCCACCCAGCCACAGCCTGTTCACCCTGCTGCCTTCTGGGAAAATAAGTTTCTGCTGCCGCACCACCAGACAGCTTTCCCCCCGACGCTATCGGACTCTTAAACTCCTCCTCAGCACTGCTCCAGTGATCACTGTTTATTTCCGTTTTATGATTGTTTTTGTATTACTGTTTATTGTCTGCTATTTAGCAGAAGGGAGTTACAAACTTCATTTCACTTTACAACCTGTTATATTGTGACAAATGTCATTTTACTCACTGATCCATCATTCTGCAAAAACATTTTTTAAAAACTTCCTTTTATTTATGTGAAATATTTAATATACGCAGGAGTAAATAATCTAATTTATAAATATGAAACACAGGAAATAAATTCCTCTGATTGATGAAAGTAGATTCACTCTGACTCGTGCTCTGATAACTTCCGGCCCCATCGGGCTGTTTCCGGTTAGCATGCTAAGCTACCTCCAGTAGCTCCGGAGGCTCCCGGGAGATGAGTCCGAGGTGAAGCCGGAGAGCAGCAGCTTTATCCGGACACACGGAGGCTCTGGCGGCTCCTCGCTGTTGGTGCCAGAGACTCTTTCTCAGCACAACAACGGGACTCGTTCACAAGCTAAACATGCTAAAGACGCCATCTTGCTAAAAACAGTTCTTTGGTAACCGCAACAACGGTTACAGCTTCCGGTGCAACTTTCCAAGGCATCACAATAAAACGTGTAAAAGTCACGCGTTTAAAACGTCTTATTGTAGTTTATTTCTTTTTTCTTTAGTCTGCAGTTACAAATGATCAGAAAACAGTTCGGGTGTGATCAACATTACGGGTCAGACATCACTGTGAGATTTAGTTTCAAGCCCGTCCCCGGAAGTGACCGTTGATGTTTCGGTCGGTTTGACGCTGGGTTCGGTTGGCGGACTGAACCGTTAGCTGGACCCAAATAACGGCGGAACGGTCACAGCTGAGTTCCGTAACCAGAGCAGAGATGGACCGACACCGTAAGCTCAGCTTTTTAAAACCGGAAATGAAGCTGAGAATAAGAACAGGTTTGTTTACTGCTTTAGTGCTCAGCCAGTGATGCTAAGCTAACGCTAGCACATTCCCGTCAGATGGAGCTTTAACTTCACTGAATGTCACTTACTGTGCTTGAGTTTCAGTCGGTCCTGCAACCCGGAGCTAACGTTAGCTTAGCACGTTAGCAGCTGCACGGTGAGCTTTACCTGCGTTATCGCGGAACTAGTTGACCTTTAACCCCGGCGTATCACCATGGTAACCTGCTCAAAAACAAACAATAATGCTCTGAAGCGACTCATTGATTAGCTGATTAATAAGCAACTATTCTGATGATCAAATCATCGAAAGTCCCACATATTTTATAATAGTTTCTCTTCTCATGTTCGGTACCAACTGATGTTCAATCACTCACTGTCTAAAATAAAAAGAGGCCTATACAGTTGTTCATACACGCGTTTACAGCCGGGAACCTGATCTACAATAACGATAATATATAATATTATGGTTTCATCTTCACATAAAAAGTGCAGTTTACTGCTGCCTACGTGCAAACAGACAAATAAGTAAAAAGAAATAAAGTAATTATAGAATAAAATCGAACAGAGTAGAATCAAACAAACACTTATAGTAGCAATGCAAGAAGAAAGAAAGGAACAGGAGGTGAACCGGGGGTTCTGGGAGACCCTTTATTTGGGTCTCTGTTAATAATATTACAGAGAGTACGGTATAGACCTGCCCCACATGAAAGGTGCAGTGAGATCACTTATGTTTTAAACTGGCACTATATAAATAAACTTGATTTGAATTTTGGTGAAGGAGGTTCTACGGGTCATTAGGTTCACGCCATTTCAGTCATATTTGATGTTTGTGTGATCACTGTTCTCAGCGGACGTCCAGCTGCTGTACTTCGATGTTCTTGTGGTCACTGAGGAGATTCCACAGGTTCTTTAGGTGGTTCTAGTGTTCCTTGAGTTGGTGCTTGTAATCTTTAAGGGGTAAATAGTTGCACTTATTGACTATTTTGTATTATGACGGTGTGTAAAAATGTGCCGAAAACAATTATAATGTACTGAAACACACACTGAAGCCATTACAACAAGTTTTATATTGAAAACTACAAAGAAGATTTTGTTTGCATAAATGTTAAAATAACAGCCAATGCCTTTTGTAAACACATGAAATCATTATCAAGATTTTATATTTTATATTATATAGGTAATGCAACGACCCCATGCATAATTGCATGAAAACAAAGAAGTCTTTAGCAGACAGTGATAGTAACTGCAGCGTTTCTCCTGTTCGGACACTTTCACAAAGTTGATAGCTGCTGGATTTAAAATGAAGAAGATGCTGGTTGGTTGACTAAACTGCGTAACGTGTTCTCATGTGCAGTGGACGAGTAGAGTCTCCATAAACGATGCACACAGCAGCAGAAAGAGCACACTGAGAGCCTGAGTTTACACGCTGTTAGCATGAGAGACAAAGCAAAGCTAAAAGTTAACTCACCCTGCGTTCACTATAAGTCCATTTTCTTCAACCAAGTTTCCCCTCACAAAAACTAAGACATGACTAGACTTCAGAGTGAGTGAATAATCTCTGCTGATGTCTCAGGGACACTATGGTGTCTCACAGTGGATTCGAACCTGGGTCTCTCGCACCAAAGGCACATGTCTTATCCACTGCCCCATCACCACCCTGTGTTGTTGTGTCGTTTACCATGGTTTATCATTAAACCATTTCATCCCTAGTTCTTATGGTCACTAAGGTTGTTCAAGGGGTTCTGTAGGTAGTTTTGGTGTTCCTTTATGTGGTTCTTATGGGTATTGAAGCCCGTAAGAAGATGCTCTTATTGAAGTTCTAGTAGTGCTCTAGTAGGGTTAGGAGGATTAATCATTTTAGCTCTAATTCGGATTTGATGATATTCTTTATATACATCCAGTAGTTTAAACCCAAAACACTTTCACTGGGCTATTTAGGTGGTGATTGGGCTCACTGAGGGGGTTCTAGGAATCTGGTGGTTCTGTTTTTCCTTTAGGAGGGGTTATCGGCACAGAGAAAATAGATTTTATTTCATTTGTTTACTGTTCTCTGTAGATGTCCAACAGCTGTTTGGAAGCAAACAAGAGGTTCCCCCTGAGGAGCAGGAGGGGAGCCCCAGTCTGGACCAGGAGGACCCAGAGCCCCCACACATTAAAGAGAAGTGGAGCCCCAGTCTGGACCAGGAGGACCCAGAGCCTCCACACGTTAAAGAGGAACAGGAGGAACTCTGGACCAGTCAGGAGGGAGAGCAGCTTCCAGGGCTGGAGGAGGCTGATATCACCAAGATGCCATTCACTCCTGTCCCTGTGAAGAGTGAAGACGATGAAGGTTCAGGTAGGAACAACATGGACGTGTTTATTTAGCATGTTTTAAAGGGAAGTGGGTGGAACAGTCTTCAAAAGAAAAAGTTTTAAAAGTTATTAAAGGACGACCTTTAGGAGGTCCTAGTAAAACGTTAGGTAGTCATTCAGGTGGTGCTAGGGATCCTTTAGTGGAGTTTGTGGTCATTTAGGTGGTTCTACTTTTTTTGATGAAAGTTCTAGTGGTCATTGGAGAGATTCTATCAATCATTCTGTTGGTTCCAGTGGTCTTTCAGGTAGTTCTTTTAAAGGTCCTGACAGCTGAACACACTAAACTGCCCAACGAACTGTCCGTCGGACAGCAAGCCTGATGTAAGACAGAAGTACACACATTACAGAGTACGGTCTAGACCTGCTCTTTTATGAAAAGCGCTGTGAGATAACTGTTGTTGTGATTTGGTGCTATATAAATAAAATTGAATTGAATTGAATTAAAGTAATCTAGCTTACATGACTGTCAGATACAGTGATGTTCCAGTAATGTTCGCTAAGCTAATTGTTCAGAGCAGTGGCAGCAACCTGGATGTAATGTAAGCCAACGTCAACAGGATGAAACGTCTGTGTCATTTACACAGGGGACGCTGGGGACATGTCCCCGTCATTTTTCGAGAGTGTTTGTGAAAATGCTTTGAAAAATAGCTTGCAACATGAAATGTTAAATAAGAAATTAGAGTGCTTTGGGAAAGGTTTATTTGCTCTTATTTATTTATTTTTCAGTAAGAATAAACAAGTTGCTGATTATAAAATGACCCAAAAACGTGCAGCAGCAGTAACTTTAACAATCGGCCAGAGCAGAGATGGACCGACACCGTAAGCTCAGCTTTTTAAAACCGGAAATGAAGCTGAGAATAAGAACAGGTTTGTTTACTGCTTTAGTGCTCAGCCAGTGATGCTAAGCTAACGCTAGCACATTCCCGTCAGATGGAGCTTTAACTTCACTGAATGTCACTTACTGTGCTTGCGTTTCAGTCGGTCCTGCAACCCGGAGCTAACGTTAGCTTAGCACGTTAGCAGCTGCACGGTGAGCTTTACCTGCGTTATCGCGGAACTAGTTGACCTTTAACCCCGGCGTATCACCATGGTAACCTGCTCAAAAACAAACAATAATGCTCTGAAGCGACTCATTGATTAGCTGATTAATAAGCAACTATTCTGATGATCAAATCATCGAAAGTCCCACATATTTTATAATAGTTTCTCTTCTCATGTTCGGTACCAACTGATGTTCAATCACTCACTGTCTAAAATAAAAAGAGGCCTATACAGTTGTTCATACACGCGTTTACAGCCGGGAACCTGATCTACAATAACGATAATATATAATATTATGGTTTCATCTTCACATAAAAAGTGCAGTTTACTGCTGCCTACGTGCAAACAGACAAATAAGTAAAAAGAAATAAAGTAATTATAGAATAAAATCGAACAGAGTAGAATCAAACTTATCACTTATAGATATTAAATTGTCACCTGCCACCTGACTTTAGTGTTTCCCTTTGCATAAATAAAAACATTTACACAATAAATTGATATAGGAAAGGCAGAACAGGAAACGTCTCCAATGCAGGAAATTAAGTGTTTAATGCTCAAAACTTTCCGGGGGCGGAGCCCCAGACCCTGCAGATTATAAATTTCAGTTTGATGATTTCTACTGTTAAATTATCGTCACATCTCGTTCTCGTGACAGCAGTATGGTGCATCGCCACGTCTCGTGAGCTCAGTGTATGGTCACAGCCCTGATCTGAGTCCTTATTACTACTTTCAACACAAAATGATGCCCCTGCATGTCGGTATCTTTCTCTTGTTGCAGTAGACAAATGCACGTTATCAAAATGTAAGCTTAAGACAGACCCCTCTTCCACCGTCTCTCTGCGTTTCTCTGCTTGCGTGTCCTTCTCACCTTTTTAACCCCTTTACCTTTGCATGCCTGCTGTTCACAGAATCCACTTGTGACTCCTTGAATACATAATGCATTTAAATCCCTACATGCTACATATTATGATTATTATTATATATTGTTTGCATTTGTCGTCGAGGTATTTTTACTTTATAGGTTGTATATAGTGTATAGGATTGTATAGTTTTTATTGCAATTTTTCTATTTTCTATATTTCTGTTCCTAACTGTTGCGGTACTTTGTTTTTCTTTTTATTATTGTTATTGTATGAACCAAACACCAGGCCAAACTTGGTAATAAAACATATTCTGATGTGAAATGTTATAAATAACAACAATAATACTTTAAATAGTACAGTAATAATAAGTAAGTACTAGTTTAAATGACACTTACCGTGGTAGCTTCTTGTGAGGGGTTCCAATGGCGATCACAACAGCAAACTAGTGTAATATTATAACATTAAATAAAAAGTTCAATTTTAATCTAATAGTATACTGGTAGTATGTTTGTGTATATGTTATATCATTTTACTGTATGCATTGTCATTTTATGTAAAATAAACTATATAGCCCACTGCTAGTTTTGTTTCAACAAAAGGCACCTGATAGGGCTAAATAGCCAGCTAGCTAAACCCACAACCTCCTTATCTTCTCCCTGCTGTCCTCTGTCTCGCCGCTCCAGCTGCTCACATCTCTGTCTTTGTATTTGTAACGAGCTCCTCAAGCGGCCACCGAGCGACCCGCCAACCGGGATCTCTCCCGGCTAACACCAGCTTTGTGTCGCGTCCTGCCCACTAGTCAGGCGATGTGTTTTCAACAATTAGCGCCGCCGCATGCGCTGATGGTGGTGCTGATGGTCAGTGAGGAGGTCATAGGGGTCCTGTAGGTGGTTCTTGTGGTCTTGAAGAAAGTCCTTGTGCTGTTTTGGTGGTTCTAGTTTTCTTCTAAAACGTTTTAGTGGATCTTTTTGTTTTATTTGTTTCATTTTTTAACCTATTTTGTTTTCTGCACAAATGCAAAAAGACTAAACATGATAAACCAATTGAACTCAACCCTGTGTGTGTTTTCTGTTCTTTGCAGACGTCCAGCAGCTGTCGGGGAGCAAAGAAGAGGTTCCCCCTGAGCAGCAGGAGTGGAGCCCCAGTCTGGACCAGGAGGATCCAGATCCCCCACACGTTAGAGAGAAGTGGAGCCCCGGTCTGGACCAGGAGGACCCAGAGCCCCCACACGTTAGAGAGAAGTGGAGCCCCGGTCTGGACCAGGAGGACCCAGATCCCCCACATGTTAGAGAGAAGTGGAGCCCTGGTCTGGACCAGGAGGACCCAGATCCACCACACATTAAAGAGGAGCAGGAGGACCTCTGGACCAGTCAGTCAGAATCAGACTGGAACCTAAATCCAGATAAACATTTACAACCACATACCGAAGACCAGACTTTAGACTTGTTTAAGACTGAAGCCAGCGATGAAGACTGGACAGAGACCAGAGAACCTCAGTCAGTTTTAAACTCCCTTAAAATTATTGAAGTCCCTGATATGAAATGTAAAACGAGCAAGAAAACCTACAGCTGCTCCGAGTGTGGGAAAATATTTGGCCGCAGCCCACATCTGAAGATCCATATGAGAACTCACACCGGAGAGAAACCGTTCAGCTGCCCTTTCTGCGGTAAAAGCTTTACACAGAAAGTAAATCTGACGTACCACATGTCCGTCCATACCGGGGAGAAACGCTTCAGTTGCCGTTTCTGTGATGAACGATTTACCTGGTATACTCAGCTCAAAAGCCATCAGTGTGTTTGTGAGTCCTCGCAGCTCCATCACAACCAATCAGAGGAGGACACGGAGACCGGCGAGAAGTCATTCAGCTGTTCTGAGTGTGGGAAAATATTCAGCCGCAAGGACAATCTGAACATACACATGAGAATTCACACCGGAGAGAGACCGTTCAGCTGCACAGTTTGCGGTAAAAGTTTTAAACACGGAGGACATCTGACCCAACACATGTCCGTCCACTCAAAGGAGAACCGTTTCAGCTGCAACGTTTGTGGAAAAAGATTTACTTGGCTTTACCAGCTGAAGAGACACAAGTGTGGTAGTGAGTCCTCTCAGCTTCCTGAACTCTGGTCCAGTCAGGAGGGAGAGCAGCTTCCAGGGCTGGAGGAGGCTGATATCACCAAGTTCCCATTCACTCCTGTCCCTGTGAAGAGTGAAGATGATGGAGAGAAACCTCAGTCCTCACAGCTTCATCAGAGCCAGACTGAACAGATGGAAGCTGATGGAGAGGACTGTGGGGGACCAGAACCAGCCAGGGACTCTGATCCAGATAGACTTTTACAACCTGAGACTGAAGATGACTGGACGGAGACCAGAGGACCTCAGTCAGGTTTGAACTCTATGAAGGTCCCTGAAGTTGGTACAGGAAGTAACGCTGGCAAGAAATCATTCAGCTGCTCTGAGTGTGGGAAAATATTTGGACGAAAGGAACATCTACAGACCCACGTGAGGATTCATACCGGAGAGAGACCGTTTAGCTGCTCTGACTGCGGTAAAACATTCGGCTGCAAGAGGTCGCTGCTGGGTCACATGACCAGTCACACGGGAGAGAAACCATTCAGCTGCTCTCAGTGCGGGAAAAGGTTTGGCCGAATGGTGAATCTGAAGACGCACGAGAGACTTCACACGGGAGAGCGACCGTTCAGCTGTCCGTTCTGTGGCAAAGGTTTTACACAAAAGGTTCACATGACGCAGCACATGGCCGTCCACACGGGAGAGAAGCAGTTCAGCTGCAGCATCTGCGACAAGAAGTTCACCTGGCTGTCAGGGTTCAGACGACACAAGTGCGGCAGCGAGCAGTCGGAGCTCGATGAAAGTCAGACCGAGGAGAACTCGGAGACGGAACCGGGTGAGAAACCCTTTCGCTGCCGTCAGTGTGGGAACAGATTTAATCACAAGCACAATCTGAAGGCCCACATAAGGATTCACACGGGAGAGAAGCCGTTCAGCTGCTCTGTCTGCGGGAAAGGCTTCACTGCGAGCGGAGCTCTGAAGAAGCACCTGAGGACTCATTCAGGAGAGAGACCGTTCAGCTGCTCCGTCTGCGGCGTACGATTCACACAAGGAGGGAACCTGAAGCGGCACATGGCCCAGCACACGGGAGAGACGCGAGAGAAACCCTTTCACTGCTCCGTCTGTGGGAAAAGCTTTACGCAAGTCTCCAACATGAAGCGACACATGACCCAGCACAGCGAGACTGAAACAGCTCAGCCACAGGAAGCAGGAAGCGAAGCTGCGATGGTTCCGATCTGACCGAGGATCAGCAGGAGGAAGCCCAGAGTCTGCTGCCGGCCTCAGACTTCGTACGGTCACTGACGGCAAACCGTCCGACTAGAGACGACAGCCGTTGTTATTACCAGTTACAGTGGTAACACAAATATGTACACAGTGTAAATGCGGTATATTTATATACATACTGTACAGTATATCTGCGTACTGATTACATACAGCACAGGAGCGTCCTTCCTTTATTAGAACAAACATGGTCGTGTCTGTTTGTTCGGAGGCTGCAGATGAAACTGATTTTATTTCATGTGAAGTAGCTCACCATTCATTTCATTACTGATCATGTGATCCGGACTGATCAGGACCTGTTAGTTATCCCTGAGACGAGGGGAACCAGGTTTTCTGTTCCAGAGAGGTGACTTGGACTCATGGTCCAACCAGGTCAGGTTCTGTTTGTCTCCTCTCACAGAGCCGGACTCGCCGTTTCAGGTCCTTGTTGGTCCGCATCAGTCAGAGTCCTGCTGGATCTCAGTGTGTCTCTCAGGACCGTCTGAAGCTCAACAGCCAACTCTTTCAGCGCGTCCGTCCCAGAGAACAACTTTTACCGTCCTGAAGTTACTGTGTTCGCATCATCCCGAGCTGTTAGCAGGGACGCAGCGATTCCAGGCTTTGCTGGTCCGATCGCAGTCTGAGGAATAATCACGTTTCACGACTATAATCCATTCATTTAACAACACCAGTAATGACTCAGGTTGATTTTTAATGACATTAACAATTAGATTTCTATAAAATGTAAGTATTCTTAACATGAGAGGAATATTGAGGGGAAACTGTTACTGTCATCAACTCTCATCCATACGTGTAGGTTTCAGTGTGAATGATGAGAACGTCTCTCCTGAGTGTGATTAATATCTGGAACGCCGGGAGTCGGTACTCTCCAGAGGACGACGTTCTTCCAGCCATTATCAGCGTGGAAGCCGGGTCCAGCGAGCGCGCGAGCTCGGCGTGCGGCGCGTGTTGCTCGACGCAGCGACAAACCGCCGTGGCGCGGCGCCGGCCGCTGAGAATAACGGGCCTCGTCGCGCTGCGGTGGCTTTGAACGGTTCCAGCTGCTGTGTTTGTTTACGCTGACAGCGACACGTTTATATTTAATTCCCCACCGACCTGCCGCGTCGTTGAACTCTGTGATCACGTGTGACCTTTACTTGGGCGCCGCGTGCAAAGCTGGCCGGTGATCCTGCAGCATCAAGTTCCTTTAGCAGGAACCTTTTAACGCAGGTGATCCGTCAGCTCTTAAATAACGCCGGGGTTCGGTGTTGGTGCACCTGAGACTCTGCCGTCTCTCTGCTGGAAATAAAGCTTCAGTCTGGTCCCTCTGCCAGAGTTTAGCCGGGGAACAGCAGCCTCCGTGTCTCCGAGCAGCTGCTGCTCCTCTAACTCTGTTTTCAGTTTGTGCAACAGAAACACTCGGTGTAGCGGAGACTTTACGATTAATTAACCGTGATGTTTTAAAGTAATCGCTGCATCCCTGTTAGTCACATAATGTAAAGACAATCAACAGATGTGTTTCAGTTAGAAACTCCTGGACTTCTCCTGGTTTTCATGTTCAAAACGTTCATGCACATTCAGGATCTCTCCCACAGATCTGTGTTCTCTGTGTTCTCTGTACTGAAACTCCACCAGCTGCTGTCGGTGCACCGGTGTCACATCAGCTGGCCGGAGTTGATTCGCTCTTCTGTTTTGAGCGACTGAGGGGACGGGTGGATCAGAACCGCGGGAACAGGTCTCGGGCTGAGTGACAGTGAGCATCATGCACACGCTCCGTTATAGTAAATAAACACACACGATCCTTTTCATATATTTCTGTTGGACGCCGTTGGTTTTAGCAGCGTTTCACTGCTGAAGCAGCTGGAACAAACTTATCTGGATGTAACGCAGGCTGATGATGAACTGACGCACACTGAACAAAACTTTATTGTTCACCTGTTGACACTTTAAAGATAAACGTGCACACTCGGGCGTTACCGTCTCTGCGTCCACCGGCTCACATGAGGCCTTTCTTTCTGAAACAGGACCTGGTCTGGACCGATGACGTTCCACACGGGAACAGCTGTTAAAGACTCCTGAGGTTCTTCAGGTTCTGAACGTGGCGGCGATATAAGCAAAGTGTTGCTTTGTGAATACAAACTGTTTAAATGTTTGTTCGCTTCATAAACACACGGTGAAGCTTTGCCTTAAAATAACTTTATTAATCGCTTTGACGACGCAGCTGCACTTAAATTCACATTAAATGTAAAAGTGTAAAAGTCTGTTGTCTTTGTTTTGTTCTAAGCAGAACTTCAGAACGCTTCAGTACTTTTTTTCATCGTTTGTGGTCCTTACAGACGATCAGCTGTCCGAGGTCTCCTGAGGGTCTGTGCTAAGCTAGGCTCATAGTCTTTCCATAAATGCCTTGCATGAAACGTGAAGGGGACAGAAAAAGAAGTGATGTCCACATCAACGGAGATTCATCCAGAAAAGGTCACCAGGTCTTCAGATTATGGACTGAATCAATGACCAGGATCAGAAAGAGCCCGCAGGAGCTCAAAACCATCAGCCCATCAGCCCGACTGATCCTAAGATAAGACTTGAACTCTGCTCCTGGAGCAGCTGGTGGTGCTGCCAGCGGTGTGTCGTGTTCCCCTTCCCGTCTCCTGCGTGTCTGTACACCTCTCGCCCTCAAACAGTGCCGGAGCAGGCGCCCTGCGTTTGTCTCTTTCATCACAGCAGATGTTCTTAACAAAAGACACAGACCTGTGAGTTTCTGCTCAGCTCAACGTCTATTTCACATTAAAAAACTAAAACTAAAATAAATAGCTTGTCAAATTAATTTGTATTTAATCAAAAGTATATTTTAGGGGTAAGATGCCCCCCCCCCGGTGTGAAATCACTTTAATATGTGTAAAGAGGATTACAGACCTGTGTTGTGGAAGTAAACCTGCCTGATGTTATCAGCTTTCCTTTAGTTTATGTCTCAGACTTTTAAACAGTGAAGCTGCTGGAGCTTCATCAGCAGAACGTCTGAGGTCAAATATGCGCAGGCCAGCTGGAAATGTGAGCTTCTAACCTCAGAATTTACCTCAGACTTGCTGCTTGGCTCACGGGTCTGGCCAGAGTCTCAACAACATCAGCTTAGAAGGGGCACAGCGCCCGGGGGGGTGGGGGGGGCGCCTGACCCCAAACATACTAATCTAGCATTTTACTACTTTAACCACAAACTATAAAAATCTTTCTCTCTAAACAAACTTCTCTTCAGGCTCCCCTTAATGTAAATATACATATAAAGTGAACACAGCTGATTTTAACGGACCAAAAAGTGAGATGAACTCCGGTCAGAGCGGCTTTGATCAGATAATTTAAATAATTGTGATGAATCAGAGGAAATGTTCAGTTCAGTGAGACGAGCGGCAGCCAGAAGAAATACCGTGGGGGGCGTCTGACCCCGTGTCAGCCTACAGATCGCTGGCGCTATAATCTCTGATTGGACTGACAGGACAGCTGATTCAGTGGTTGCCTAGCAACATCAAAACCCGCAGTGCACTGCTCTTTTCCAAATTCAACCGAAAAGCCGCCGCTGTGCGCCTCAGGATTAACTCCTGATATTAAGAAATCCTAAAGAGCCGGCAGGGAGGACAGAAACCCTACAGGGACGGCGTCCTAGTGAGGTCCGCGATGGACATCTGGAGTGGGTACTGAAGGAGAACAAAGACTAATGGGAGTCGAGTCTGCGGCAGATCCACTTCCTGGGGCACATGAGACCTGACCTGGTCAGAGCCTAAAGTCATTCCAGGACTCTACAGCGGGATGACCACGCTGTCCTGGAAAACCTGGAAAACAGTTGACCTACACTCACCTAAAGGATTATTAGGAACACCAGACTAATACTGTGTTTGACCCCCTTTGGCCTTCAGAACTGCCTTAATTCTACGTGGCATTGATTCAACAAGGTGCTGAAAGCATTCTTTAGAAATGTTGGCCCATATTGATGGATAGCATCTTGCAGTTGATGGAGATTTATGGGATGCACATCCAGGGCACGAAGCTCCCGTTCCACCACATCCCAAAGATGCTCTATTGGGTTGAGATCTGGTGACTGTGGGGGCCACTTTAGTACAGTGAACTCATTGTCATGTTTGAAATGATTGGAGCTTTGTGACACGGTGCATTATCCTGCTGGAAGTAGCCATCAGAGGATGGGTACATGGTGGCCATAAAGGGATGGACATGGTCAGAAACAATGCTCAGGTAGGCCGTGGCATTTAAACCATGCCCAATTGGCACTAAGGGGCCTAAAGTGTGCCAAGAAAAACATCCCCCACACCGTTACACCACCACCACCAGCCTGCACAGTGGTAACAAGGCATGATGGATCCATGTTCTCATTCTGTTTACGCCAAATTCTGACTCTACCATCTGAATGTCTCAACAGAAATCGAGACTCATCAGACCAGGCGACATTTTTCCAGTCTTCAACTGTCCAATTTTGGTGAGCTCTTGCAAATTGTAGCCTCTTTTTCCTATTTGTAGTGGAGATGAGTGGCACCCGGTGGGGTCTTCTGCTGTTGTAGCCCATCCGCCTCAAGGTTGTGCGTGAAAATCCCAGTAACTGAGCAGATTGTGAAACACTCAGACCGGTCCGTCTGGCACCAACAACCATGCCGCGCTCAAAACTGCTTAAATCACCTTTCTTTCCCATTCTGACATTCAGTTTGGAGTTCAGGAGATTGTCTTGACCAGGACCACACCCCTAAATGCATTGAAGCAACTGCCATGTGATTGGTTGATTAGATAATTGCATTAATGAGAAATTGAACAGGTGTTCCTAATAATCCTTTAGGTGAGTGTATTTTCCAGTCACAGGAAAAGTCCTGGAAAGTCTTGTGTTGCCTGGGAAATGATTTTAACTTGATGCTGCGGCTGCTCGGTTATGTTGCAGCAGCGTTGTGAACGCACCCTGGAGTCAGCAGGTGTTTGAATAATGGGAGCTAAATATTATGCTGCGTTCCAGACCGGTCTGAACTGGGAAATGTGCGACCTCAAAGCGTTCCACGTGCAAGCCGCCAAATGTAAACAGCAAACATGGCTGAGCGTGAAAGACTTGTGTTTCTTTCTGCACAGTTGAACCCTCAGCAGAAGCTGGAGGCTGTTTCCACATCTTTTCACATTTCTGGGCGTTTCCAACATTTTCCTGAGCAACATTTGGGCAGAGAAGATGATTCAGAGACTGCCAACATATTTCTCCATCGGTTTACGTGCAGAACAAGTTTCACTATTTGATCCTAGCCTGTTTTATTTGCCTTTTAGTTCATGGTTTTTACACCGTGAGCTTCACAGAGCTGCCGTTGTTGTGTTTCGAGGGACAAATTTTTTCTCCAAGTTCACAAGTAGGAAATCCGACTTCAGGTGGCGTTCATGGTACTTTTTCTGGTTGGAGGTTGGAAATTTCCCAGTTCTGAGTCGCCTGGCGCGCAGCATCGCTCCCTGCTGGCCGGTCCCTCCTATCAGGTTTAGAACAGTTTCTTCTCAACTTGTTTCAAATGGTTGAATAAAGTTAAATTTGTTCACCGTGTTCGGTTAGGGTTAGGGGTTCGGTTAGTTTGTTTAGGTCGACCTGGCGCCATGTTTTGCCAGCCACATTTGTTAAGATTTAAAATGATTTGTTATATTCGTTAAATTAAATTACCTTTGTTAATTTCATGGCGTGGTTTCCTCTGTTTGCTGCGGCCTCTGAGCCAGGCCATCACACCCGGTAAGAAGTGAACCACCGTCGTGGTGCTGAAAACCCAGCAGGGTTAACCCTGAAGTTACCTGGATAAGCCCAGATCCTGCTTCGTGGTGCAGCCGTGTCGTTCCTGATGATTTCTCTTCCTTCGGTCCGAGGGTCCTCCGTCATGTCACTCTCTGTCTGCTGACTTCTCTTCACTTCTCTCATCCTGCAGCCTGCTGCTGTTTTCATTATGCTGCTGCCTTCAAAATAAAAGCGCAGAAGCTAGATCACATGAAGGACGTGTATTTGATATTATTTTTTATAAAAGTAATATTCTGTTTGAAATAAATAAACTGATTCATTGCAGTTTCAGTTTTGTGTGAGAGGAATTAAAAGGCCTGTCCCAAATAAAGGCCGGGTCAGTTTTAGCAAATAAAAGCCCGGCTGTTAATCAGAGTTTCACAGTAAATGCAAAAACAGTTTTTTCAGTGTATCAGCGACCGTCGGTTTACCACGGGCTTTATGTGTCATGGCCTTCACAATGAGCAGTAACCTGGACACAGAGGGGCCATTAGGGAGTTCCTGGGGGTCTTTTTGTTAATTATTGATCGTTGTTGTTCTATATTGTTATAATTTAGATAAAGATCAGATAAAAACTTTAAACATAATCCAAGCTGACACAGTTAGAGACCCCTGAAATGTTTGAACTCATTGAAAGGCAACAAAGCAAAGTTCTTATCTGTGAATTTACATTTGTGAATATGAAATTTGGCCATAATAATAAGGAGATTAATCAAGTACACACAAGTTTTACGTTATTTTCTGGGAAACCAAACATTCTCCCAAAACAAAGCAAAACTTTCAGAGATATTTTCTGAAATAAAATCACTTCATCATTTTTCCCAGAAAGATTTCACAATAGGACAAAAACAACAGTTTCTGGACAGCCACCAATATCTTTCCTAAATCTGAACTTAATATAGTTTTTAGCTGAATAGAATTTATGTACTAATTTAAAGGAAATGAGTGTATAAAATGGGAAAATATAAAAGTTTAACTTGCAGAGCTGATTCTGCTTTTCCCTCCTCTAAAAGTAGATCTGGGTTCTTTAGAGATCAGAAGGTGATCTTTGTTACTACCTCTTCTGGATTTGGATTTTATACCACCAGATTTTCTTAAAAGCTTTCCAACCTCGAATTTTAATTTAATTTTTTTTGGACCAAGAAAAAGAAATCAGGGATGTGAGCTATTTTTTAACTTCGTCAGAGCTCTTGAGTTTCCAGCTCTGACTGAGCAGCGACACTTTTAACTTCACGTGTATCCTGGTGATCCGTAAGAGGAGTGGGTCGTATTTCCACATCAGTAAGATCTTTATTAACGTTCTCGGACACAAACCAAAGATCCTTGACTGACCAGAGCCTGTTTCATTACTCCAAGTCTGTCAGCTGCTGTTAGGATATTTCTTTCTCCAAACACCTACAAGCCTGAAGTTCTCTGCAAAGGTTTTGGTTCCGTTTGGTTGACCAGAGTTGTGCGTTTTCTGCCCAGCAGGTGGCGCTGATGTGACGTCACGCAGACCCACCTGTGATTTGACCACTTTTCAAAAGGTTCGTTTGACTTGATGCGTATCGTGATGCATGCTGGCTTTTTTGGGGGGGGCGGGGGACTTAAAATAAGGGATGCTGGTTAGAAATTGTGTCCGGCTTTCGCCGGCGCTGCAAAACGTCACCATGTCACATGACATTAAAACCTCGCGGGAGCAAGACGGCTGCAGGCGCCGAGTCCATTTGTCTTTACAAATGCCGCGAGACCAGTCATTGATCTCAGCTCACAGTCAGCTCACGCAGGTAGGATGTGTCCCCGCCCCTGCGGTCACCTGCAGCTCACGTTAGACCATCAAGTCGGCGGAAGTCATGTTTCATTCATCCCGAAGAGCTGACGGACTTTTATTGTGAAGGAATGTTTGTATGCTGTGATCTTAGACCTGATCCTAAATCAGCAGATAGCAGCCCCCCCCAGCTGATCTTTGTTGTGCGTAACACGTCACCCCGCCCCCTCAGCCTGTGCAGGATTTAATGCCCTCCTCCTCCTCCTCCTCCTCCGCTCCTCCATTATTACTGTGAAGAACCGAGGACGGCAGCGGGTCACCACGACAGCAGCAGGCCGAGCAGGAGGGCCGGACCGCCGGGGAGGACCGGAGGATGAGCGCCGGGACGAAGCTGAAACCCGGAGGAGGCGACATGACGGCGGACTAAGCAGGCAGGAGGCGGGAGGAGGTGCAGATAACCAGGAGCAGGAGCTTCATCATCACCACCATCATCATCATGTGTTAATGTGCTAACGGGCCTCCGTCCTTCTCTTCCAGCGGCTCACAGTCAGGATGTCCGCGCCGCCCGCCGGACCCGGACCCGGGCCGGAGCTGCCGGACCTGAGCCACCTGACGGAGGAGGAGCGGAGCATCATCCTGTCGGTGATGGAGAGGCAGAAGAAGGAGGAGGAGAAGGAACAGAGCATGCTCAAGTAAGGAGGGGCGGGGCTCTGCGGATCATTGATTATTGATCAGTGCTGATCAGCTGCTGCTGGGCGATGACGGGGTTTCCGCGTCAACTCATACAAAATAAAAGCACAGCGCCTCCAAAATAAAATCCAGCTCAGCTGCAGCAAAGAGAGGCTAAAGAGAAAAACATAGTGTTGACGTCACGTTAAAGGGAAGGTGACCTCTGACCTCTGACCTCCTGTCACTCGTCTGAACAACACCAGTCTGTGGCGGTCAGCGCTGTGAGTGAGTCACTGCGGAGGTCGTCCAGCCTTTATTGTGACTGCTGTCAGGAGGAGGAGGAGTCAGGAGGTCGTCCAGCCTTTATTGTGACTGCTGTCAGGAGGAGGAGGAGTCAGGAGGTCGTCCAGCCTTTATTGTGACTGCTGTCAGGAGGAGGAGGAGTCAGGAGGTCGTCCAACCTTTATTGTGACTGCTGTCAGGAGGAGGAGGAGTCAGGAGGTCGTCCAGCCTTTATTGTGACTGCTGTCAGGAGGAGGAGGAGTCAGGAGGTCGTCCAGCCTTTATTGTGACTGCTGTCAGGAGGAGGAGGAGTCAGGAGGTCGTCCAGCCTTTATTGTGACTGCTTAAGGCTGCGCTCCGTAACGAGAGGCTGCACGCTGCAGTCAGGAGGAGGAGTGAAGAGGAGGAGGAGTGAGGAGGAGGAGTCAGGTGGAGGAGTGAAGAGGAGGAGGAGTGAGGAGGAGGAGTCAGGTGGAGGAGTGAAGAGGAGGAGTCAGGTGGAGGAGTGAAGAGGAGGAGGAGTCAGGAGGAGGAGTCAGGAGGAGGAGGAGTGAGGAGGAGGAGTGAGGAGGAGGAGGAGGAGGAGTGAGGAGGAGGAGTGAGGAGGAGGAGGAGTGAGGAGGAGGAGGAGTCAGGCGGAGGAGTGAAGAGGAGGAGTCGGGAGGAGGAGTCAGGAGGAGGAGTGAAGAGGAGGAGTCGGGAGGAGGAGTCAGGAGGAGGAGTGAGGAGGAGGAGTGAAGAGGAGGAGGAGTGAAGAGGAGGAGGAGTGAGGAGGAGGAGTCAGGCGGAGGAGTGAAGAGGAGGAGGAGTGAGGAGGAGGAGAAGTGAGGAGGAGGAGTCAGGTGGAGGAGGAGTGAAGAGGAGGAGTCGGCAGGAGGAGTCAGGCGGAGGAGTGAAGAGGAGGAGTCGGGAGGAGGAGTCAGGAGGAGGAGTGAGGAGGAGGAGTGAAGAGGAGGAGGAGTGAGGAGGAGGAGTCAGGCGGAGGAGTGAAGAGGAGGAGGAGTGAGGAGGAGGAGTGAAGAGGAGGAGTCGGCAGGAGGAGTCAGGCGGAGGAGTGAAGAGGAGGAGTCGGGAGGAGGAGTCAGGTGGAGGAGTGAAGAGGAGGAGGAGTCAGGAGGAGGAGAAGTGAGGATGCTTTTATCGATCGTGGGAAATTTTAGCAGCGGCGGTCGTGATTCAGCAGCGCCACATAGAGGAAACGCTGAGCTGTGTGTCACTGATGTTGCTGGTTTCAGAAGCAGCAGCTGATCTGAGTCCCCCCCCCGTCTCTCTGCCCCCCCCCGTCTCTCTGCCCCCCCACCTGCCCTGTCTCTCTGCCCCCCCACAGGAAGTTACATCAGCAGTTTGAGCTCTATAAGGACCAGGTGAAGAAGTTGGGGGAGGAGCCTCAGGCGGCTCAGACGGCGAGGGCGGAGTCTCCCACCTGCTGCGTCTGCCGCAAGACCAAGTTTGCCAACGGCTGCGGCCGAACCTGCTGCTACTGTCAGAGCCGCTTCTGCGCCCGCTGCGGGGGGCGTGTCCCTCTGAGAGCCAATAAGGTCAGTGACAGCATGTCTTTAACACCCGGACACATTCAATCGATAACATTTGGAAAGTCTAAAAGAGCCACAGGAAGTTAGTGGTGTGCTGGCAGGAAGTTAGAGGAGAGCTGACAGGAAGCTAGCGGAGAGCTGGCAGGAAGTTAGCGGAGAGCTGGCAGGAAGTTAGCGGAGACCTGGCAGGAAGTTAGTGGTGTGCTGGCAGGAAGTTAGCGGAGAGCTGGCAGGAAGTTAGTGGTGTGCTGGCAAGAAGTTAGCGGTGTGCTGGCAGGAAGTTAGTGGAGAGCTGGCAGGAAGTTAGGGGTGTGCTGGCAGGAAGTTAGCGGTGTGCTGGCAGGAAGTTAGCGGAGACCTGGCAGGAAGTTAGCGGTGTGCTGGCAGGAAGTTAGCGGTGTGCTGGCAGGAAGTTAGCGGCGTGCTGGCAGGAAATTAGGGGAGAGCTGGCAGGAAGTTAGCGGTGTGCTGGCAGGAAGTTAGTGGAGAGCTGGCAGGAAGTTAGTGGAGAGCTGGCAGGAAGTTAGTGGTGTGCTGGCAGGAAGTTAGCGGTGTGCTGGCAGGAAGTTAGTGGTGTGCTGGCAGGAAGTTAGCGGTGTGCTGGCAGGAAGTTAGTGGTGTGCTGGCAGGAAGTTAGGGGAGAGCTGGCAGGAAGTTAGTGGTGTGCTGGCAGGAAGTTAGCGGCGTGCTAACAGGAAGTTTGCCGGCTCAGAGGGGAGGTGTGTTGAGTCACCGCAGTACAATCCAGCGCCCCCTCTCTGATTCTGATTGGCTCTCACCTTCTCACACCAGTGAGTTTTGTAAAAATCAGCAGCTTAGCTGTGCTCTGCGGTGATTGGCTGTCAGATTAGAGACAAAACCCTCAGGAGGAGAGTTTCCAGGCCCAAAACAGTCGATCTGCATCGTCTTTAGGACTAAACGTTGAACTGTTGCCGGTGTTCTGATGATCTTGCTGCCTTGCTGAAAAACGCTACCATAGCGCTAATTGATAGACTCGACTCTACTCGGCCCTGCTCCGTTTTCCATTGCAGATAGAACCCAGAGATAGTACGTAGCTGGTCGTCATAGCGACGCCACAAACACGTAATGTTCAGTGCGACACACACACCAGCGATCCACACAGCTTTCTCTTTTTTAAGTTAAAACGTTTGAACCTTCCTCAGAATGTAAAGACAGATAAGCGGTATGAAAAGCTTCCAGCTGTGTTTTCCTCTGCCGTTGTTGCTGCAGCGGTCTGTGTGACGGCGGGAGCAGAGGGCTCTGTGAGCGGGCGGCCGGCCGGCCTCATGCGCTCCTCCCGCGGGTCGCAGCAGGCTTCAACCCGCCGCCACAACTCCGGAAATATTCAAGCATGTTTTTGTTCCCCCATCACTTCTCGTAAAACTGTCAATATCCGAAATCTACACAGCTGATTTCACCTCAAGACTTCTCAGAAGTGGATTTAGTGATGAAATAACGTGTGAAAACTGTAAAATATAAAACTTCCTGTTGCCTCTGTCTGGTGCAGCAATGATGATGCAGTGAATAGTGACGATTCTCTCTGACCAATCAGCAGTCTGTCGTGTTTTCATGTTACATTTTAGTTTCCCTCAGCTCGCTTCTAACCTCGATGAAGGTGAGGTGATTGCCGCTTGGCGAGCTTTATGACGCGTTTTCATTGTGACGTCACAAGTAAAGGAAGTGAAGGGCTGGACTACAAACGAGCTGTTTTCAGTTCAGAGCAGAGTTTTCTGTGGGAGATGGGAACTCACTTTGGGCTTTTTCACTTTGCAAACCTGTTACATGCACAAAAAAGAGAAATAACTCAATAAAGGAGAGGGAAAAGGCAAAAAGCAGAATACCAACTCTTTAAACATTGAAATGTGTATTGTAACAGGCAGTATATTAACTTACTGAGAGAAAACGGGTAGTTCTGTGTAAAATCAGACGTTCAGCACCCCCATATCAGATTGACAGTCGAATCAGGCTCCGGCCATCAAAGCATCCAATCTTCAACTATTCAGGGTCAGGCCTAGTAGTTTCTACATTTTCCCACGTTCCTCAGAAGTCCTGAACGCATCATCAGCATTTCAGTTTCAGAGAAACAAGTTTTTTCTTCTTTAATGTTCAAAATTGAAAACTTCTGTTTTTCTGTGTGTTTTATTCAGTAATGGATGAAGTACTCAGAGCCTTCAGTAAAAGTACTAATACCTCACTGTGAAAATACTCTATTACAAGTAAAAGTACTGCATTGAAAATGTTACTAAAGTAAAAGTATGTGAGTATAAACAGGAAAATGTGCTTAAAGTATTCAAAGTAAAAGTACTCTCTGTCCTGTTACATCTCAGATTAGTATTATTCCTCATCATTCATGTAAAGCAGGATTTTCCTGCTGTAGTTTGAGGTTGAACTTCTTAGTATCAGACTGCAGCTGATGATTATTTTCACTCTGGATTAATCAGTGGATTATTTTTAATCGATTGGAAACCTTGTGAAAATAGTGAGACATGTTGTCCCAGAGCCCAAAGAGACTCCTTCACAGCATCAGTTTAAACTCAGAATGATTCAAATCTTCACATCAGATGTTTTTACCTGATGGACCAGCTGATTTAATTTAGAACTAAGCTTCATATTTTATAAACTCTTCATGTGTGAAGTAACTGAAGCTGTCAGATATGATGGAGTAGAAGGAGAAAATACTCAAGCAAAGTACCATACTTCTAATGTGTACTCAGTACCTGACCCTCGATGGTGTATCAGTGATCAGGTGCATCTGTGTTCCAGGTGATGTGGGTCTGCAACGTCTGCAGGAGGAAGCAAGAGATCCTCACTCAGTCGGGGGGGCTTTACTCCAGCAGCTCACATGGGGATCCTCACCCGCCAACGCAGGGGCCACCGGGCGTCACAGGGCCTCTGAGCAACGGAGCCACTGAGCGGTCAGTAGAACCCAGGAGAACCCAGACACACGAACAAGTCACATCATCAGTTTGGAGCTTTCTGCCACATCTCATGAGCTTCATCAGCAGATGGACTTGTTGTCACGGAAACTGAGCAAATACTTATAGTTCCATACATCCATCCATCCATCAATCGTCAAACTGCTTATCCTGCGTACAGGGTCGTGTGGGGCTGGAGCCAATCCCAGCTGAAAGGCGAAAGGCGGGGTACACCCTGGACAGGTCGCCAGTCCATCGCAGGATTATAGTTATTGATTATTAATAAAATTAATCAGCTCTGGATCTTAATTGCAGAATCATTATTTACAGTTTCAGTCTGATTAAGTAGTTAGATGTTTGTGACAGCCCCCCCCCCCGCTGTAATCAGATTAACAGTTTGATAATCCTGCAGCTCAGAGAGGCTTAACGCTAGGCTAACACACAGGCTAACACACAGGCTAACAACACAGGCTAATACACAGGCTAACACACAGGCTAATACACAGCCTAATACACAGGTGATCAACACAGGCTAACACACAGGCTAATACACAGCCTAATACACAGGTGATCAACACAGGCTAACACACAGGCTAATACACAGGCTAATACACAGGCGATCAACACAGGCTAACACACAGGCTAATACACAGGCGGTCAACACTGGCTAACACACAGGCTAATACACAGGCTAATACATAGGCTAACAACACAGGCTAACACACAGGCTAATACACAGGCTAACACACAGGCTACCAACACAGGCTAACACACAGGCTAACAACACAGGCTAACACACAGGCTAATACACAGGTGATCAACACAGGCTAACACACAGGCTAATACATAGGCTAATACACAGGCGATCAACACAGGCTAACACAAAGGCGATCAACACAGGCTAACAACACAGGCTAACACACAGGCTAACACACAGGCTAATACACAGGTGATCAACACAGGCTAACACACAGGCTAACACAAAGGCTAATACACAGGCTAATACACAGGCTAACACACAGGCTAATACACAGGCGATCAACACAGGCTAACACAAAGGCTAACACACAGGCTAATACACAGGCTAATACACAGGCTAACACACAGGCTAACACACAGGCTAATACACAGGCTAATACACAGGCTAATACACAGGCTAATACACAGGCAAACAACACAGGCTAACAACGTAGGCTAACAACGTAGGCTAATACACAGGCGAACAACACAGGTCAGCAACACAGGCTAACATACAGGCTAACACACAGGCTAATACACAGGCTAATACACAGGCTAACACACAGGCTAACAACACAGGCTAACACATGCTAACACAAAGGCAGGCTAACAAAACACATATGTTCAAAACACAACGAACAACACAGGTCAGCAACACAGGCTAACATACAGGCTAACACACAGGCTAATACACAGGCTAATACACAGGCTAACACACAGGCTAACAACACAGGCTAACACAAAGGCTAATACACAGGCTAACAACACAGGCTAACACACAGGCTAACACACAGGCTAACAACACAGGCTAACACAAAGGCTAATACACAGGCTAACAACACAGGCTAACACACAGGCTAATACACATGTGATCAACACAGGCTAACACACAGGGTAACACACAGGCTAATACACAGGCTAACACACAGGCTAATACATAGGCGATTAACACAGGCAAACAACACAGGCTAACAACGTAGGCTAACAACGTAGGCTAATACACAGGCGAACAACACAGGTCAGCAACACAGGCTAACATACAGGCTAACACACAGGCTAATACACAGGCTAACACACAGGGTAACACACAGGCTAATACACAGGCTAACACACAGGCTAATACATAGGCGATCAACACAGGCAAACAACACAGGCTAACAACGTAGGCTAACAACGTAGGCTAATACACAGGCGAACAACACAGGTCAGCAACACAGGCTAACATACAGGCTAACACACAGGCTAATACACAGGCTAATACACAGGCTAACACACAGGCTAACAACACAGGCTAACACATGCTAACACAAAGGCAGGCTAACAAAACACATATGTTCAAAACACACATAGGCTAACAACACAGGCTAACACACAGGTTAACAACACAGGTTAACAACACAGGCCATCAACACAGGCTAACACACAGGCTAACACACAGGCTACACATACACATGTGATCAACACAGGCTAACACACAGGCTAACACACAGGCGATCAACACAGGCTAACAACACAGGCTAACACATGCTAACACAAAGGCAGGCTAACAAAACACATATGTTCAAAACACACATAGGCTAACAACACAGGCTAACACACAGGTTAACAACACAGGTTAACAACACAGGCCATCAACAGAGGCTAACACACAGGCTAACACACAGGCTACACATACACATGTGATCAACACAGGCTAACACACAGGCTAACACACAGGCTAACACACAGGCGATCAACACAGGCTAACACAAAGGCTAATACACAGGCTACCAACACAGGCTAACACACAGGCTAACACACGGGCTAACACACGGGCTAACACACGGGCTAACACACGGGCTAACACACAGGCTAACAACACAGGCTAACACATGCTAACACAAAGGCAGGCTAACAAAACACATATGTTCAAAACACACATAGGCTAACAACACAGGCTAACAACACAGGCTAACACACAGGCTAACACACAGGCTAATACACAGGCTAATACATAGGCGATCAACACAGGCAAACAACACAGGCTAATACACAGGCTAATACACAGGCTAACACACAGGCTAAGAACACAGTCTAACACACGCTAACACAAAGGCAGGCTAACAAAACACATATGTTCAAAACACACATAGGCTAACAACACAGGCTAACACACAGGTTAACAACACAGGCCATCAACACAGGCTAACATACAGGCTAACACACAGGCTAATACACAGGCTAATACACAGGCTAACACACAGGCTAAGAACACAGGCTAACACACGCTAACACAAAGGCAGGCTAACAAAACACATATGTTCAAAACACACATAGGCTAACAACACAGGCTAACACACAGGCTAATACACAGGTTAATACACAGGCTAACAACACAGGCTAACACACAGGTTAACAACACAGGCCATCAACACAGGCTAACACACAGGCTAACACACAGGCTAACACGTAGGCTAACAACACAGGCTAAGACACAGGCTAATAACATAGGCTAACAACACAGGCTAACATGCTAACACAAAGGCAGGTTAAAACATGCTAACAAAACACATTTGTTAAAAACACACACAGGCTAACAAAACAGGCTAACAAAACAGGCTATCATACAGGCTAACGCACAGGCTAACCCACATGTTAACACACAGCCAGGCTAAAACATAATAACAACACACACATGCTAAAAACACACAGGCTAACACATACCACAGGCCAACATGCTAACACAAAGGCAGGTTAAAACATGCTAACAAAACACATTTGTTAAAAACACACACAGGCTAACAAAACAGGCTAACAAAACAGGCTATCATACAGGCTAACGCACAGGCTAACCCACATGTTAACACACAGCCAGGCTAAAACATAATAACAACACACACATGCTAAAAACACACAGGCTAACACATACTAACAAACAGCCAGGCTAACACAGGCAAACAACACACGGGGAGGGTGATGTAATGCCCGGTGTGGGCGGGGCTAATGAGAGGGAGCAGGGGAGGGGCCTGATCCACCGTGGGCGGGGCTTCAGTTATGATCCAGATTCCAGTTCTAAACCTGCTGACTGTGTCGGTGTGTGTTTAGAGGAGGCTGGAGGTTGATGTGAAGCTTCAAACATTCGACAGACAAACTGTAAGAAACTCTTCTTTCTGTTGAATACTTGATGTTATCATTTATACTACCTAAATTACTAATACTCATGTTTTATGTGTTTAAGTACGTACAGCAGCCTGACTACAGTGTAATTTCACATCAAATTTACCCTTTACATGTCGGTGTGTCTTCTAACCAAGTATTTAATAAGAAATGTCGCCTCATCAGATTAAAGGACCAGTTTTCTTTACAAACTAACTGTCAGGATGTTCCGTCGCTGTTCAGGTTGGAGATGAACACCTCTTTACTCTCAGCTGGACAGGGAGGCTGGAAGAAAATAACGATACGATGTTTTCACCAAATAGTGTTGAAAATGTTTCTGAAGGAAAAACATGGCGAGTTCTAACAAGGAAATATCTAAATCAGTAGAATAATTTAGGTCTGAAGTGGGCCAGGAGAAGAACTCAGGTTCCCCATGTTCCCCAGGTCCCTCAGGTCCCTGAAGTTCTTCAGGTTCCTTAGATTCTCAGGTCCTCAGGTTCCTCAGGTACTTCAGGTTCCTTAGGTTCTGGGTTTGCTGTAATTTTCAATTCAATTCAATTTTATTTATATAGCGCCAAATCACAACAACAGTTATCTCACAGCGCTTTTCATAAAGAGCAGGTCTAGACCGTACTCTATGATGCTATTTACAGAAGCCCAACAGTTCCCACCAAGAGCAGCACTAGGAGACAGAGGCAAGGAAAAACTTCCTTTAAGAGGCAGAAACCTCGAGCAGAACCATGGCTCAGGGTGGGCGGCCATCTGCCTCCACCGGTTGGGGTGAAGGAGAGAGAGAGAGAGAGAGGGGGAGAGAGAGAGAGAGAGAGGGAGAGAGAGGGGGAGAGTAACAGCAAGAAAGAGAGGGGGGGAGAGAGAGAGAGAGAGAGAGAGATGATATATGGGACTGATTGTTCTTATGTTGTATATATGATGCTTTGGCAATGTTGTTGTTACATTCATGCAATAAAGCTAATTTGAATTGAATTGAATTAAGAGAGGGCAAGAGAGAGAGGGCGAGAGAGAGAGAAAGAGAGAGGGCAAGAGAGGAACAGAGAGAAAAAGAGAGGGAGGGAGGGAGAGAGAGAGAGGGAGGGAGGCAGCCTACACAATATCCACACAGAGGTACAGACAGTAAAGGTGATGTTGCTATAGACTAAATGAAAAATGGTACAGATATTTATAGTAGTGTTAATGATAACAATCGTAATGTTAATGATTATAATAATAATAATAACAACAGGACTAGTAACAATAGTCGTTGCAGCAGAGGGTGTCGAGCAGGAACACGGAGGCAGCAGGTGACCCGCAACCACAGATCCAGACTCCACAGCTCCAGAGCCAGAAAACCTGCAGGAAGTGATAGGAGGAGAGAGGAGAGGGACGAGAAAGCACAAGACTACCAGAAAGGGGAGAAGTTGAGTTAGTAACATGCAATAATGGGATGAGGTTGCATACAGAGGGAGAGAAAGTAGAGGAGAGAGGAGCTCAGTGCATCATGGGAAATCCCCCTGGCAGTCTAGGCCTATAGCAGCATAACTAAGGGATGGTTCAGGACTCACCTGAGCCAGCCCTAACTATAAGCTTTATCAAAGAGGAAAGTCTTAAGCCTACTCTTAAATGTGGAGATGGTGTCTGCCTCCTGAACCCTAACTGGAACCTGGTTCCACAGGAGAGGAGCTTGATAGCTGAACGCTCTGGCTCCTAGTCTACTTTTGGAGACTCTAGGAACCACAAGTAACCCTGCATTCTGGGAGCGCAGTGCTCTGGTGGGGTAGTAAGGTACTATGAGCTCTTTAAGATAAGATGGTGCCTGACCATTAAGAGCTTTGTAGGTAAGAAGAATGATTTTAAATTCTATTCTGGATTTTACTGGAAGCCAATGCAAAGAAGCTAAAACAGGAGAAATGTGATCTCTTTTCCTGGTTCCTGTCAGAACACGTGCTGCAGCATTCTGGATCAGCTGAAGAGTCTTAATGGACTTTTTCGAGCAGCCTGATAATAAGGAATTGCAGTAATCCAGCCTAGAAGTAACAAATGCATGGACTAGTTTTTCTGCATCATTTTTAGACAGGATGTTCCTGATTTTCCCAATATTACGTAGGTGAAAAAAGGCGGTCCTTGAAATTTGCTTAATGTGAGACTTCAACGACATGTCCTGATCAAAGATAACTCCAAGATTCCTCACAGTGGTGCTGGAGGCCAAGGTGATGCCATCCAGGGAAACTATATCTTTAGATAATGCGTCACGGAGGTGCTTAGGCCCCAGAGCAATAACTTCAGTTTTATCTGAGTTTAACATTAGAAAATTACAGGTCATCCAGGTTTTAACATCCTGTAGGCACATTTGAAGTTTAGCTAACTGATGAGTTTCATCTGGTTTGATCGATAGATATAACTGAGTATCATCTGCATAACAATGAAAGCTTATGGAATATTTCCTGATAATATTGCCTAAAGGAAGCATATATAAAGTGAAGAGGATTGGTCCGAGGACAGATCCTTGAGGAACTCCATGACTAACTTTGGCATGCATGGAGGACTCATCGTTAACATGTACAAACTGAAATCGATCTGATAAATAGGACTTAAACCAGCTTAGAGCGGTTCCTTTAATGCCAATGAAATATTCCAGTCTCTGCAATAGGATCTGATGGTCAATGGTATCAAATGCAGCACTAAGATCTAATAAAACCAGTACAGAGACAAGTCCTTTGTCTGATGCAATAAGGAGGTCGTTAGTAATTTTCACCAGTGCTGTCTCTGTGCTATGATGAGCTCTAAATCCTGACTGAAAATCCTCAAATAAACTATTGCTCTGTAGAAAGTCACACAGCTGTTTAGCAACTGCTTTCTGCAGAACCTTAGAGAGAAATGGAAGGTTAGATATAGGTCTATAGTTGGCTAAAACATCCGGATCAAGTTTGGGCTTTTTCAGAAGAGGTTTAATTACAGCTACTTTAAAGTACTGTGGTACATAGCCTGTTGATAAAGATAGATTGATCATATCTAGTATAGAAGTGCTGACTAAGGATAAAACTTCTTTAAGCAGCCTAGTCGGGATGGGGTCTAAGAGGCAGGTTGATGGGTTAGATGAAGAAATTATTGAAGTTAGTTGGTAAAGACTGAGGGAAGCAAAACAGTCTAAACATATGTCTGGTTCTACAGCTGTTTCAAAGGTTCCTGAGTTTAGAGATACGTTGGTGCCAGTTGAGGGCAGGTCTTGGTGAATTTTGTTTCTAATAGCTAGAATTTTATCATTAAAGAAGCTCATGAAGTCGTAACTACTGAGAGCTGTAATGTGGTCAAAGCTCACAGACTCCTCCCCCTCCATTCTGATTAGTCTGTTCTGTGTGATTGACAGGAAGCTGAGCCCCTCGGGGTCGTATTACGATGGCGGGGGGGGCAGGATGCCCCGCTCGCCCTCAGATCATGGTCCACATCTCCGCTCTCACTCACCACATGGCTACCATGGTGATGGGGAGGAGGAGCTGCGGAGCCGGAGGCGACCAATCAGAGATGGACGAGGCCGCTGGCACTCACAGGTGAGTCTGACAGGACAGGTGAGGATCTGTGTCCTCATTATCATCTTTTAAATCAATATCAGATTATCAATGAACTGCTCAGACTGCCTGCAGGGGGCACTGCAGGACTGATAATATGGTCTGTAAGGATGGTCTCTGTGTCCTCTCATGATCCAGGACCACCCTCTGGACCAAGTTCAGGACGAGCGTGAGCGGCGGCGGCGGCAGGAGGAGGAGTTTCTGGCTCGTTACCGTAGCGACCCGAACCTGGCTCGTTACCCGGTGAAGCCGCAGCCGAGCGAGGAGGCCATGAGGATGCTGGCTCACGTTGGCAGGGTCCGCCACCAGCGCCGCCACAGCGACGTCTCCTTGGCCACCTCCGAGCCTGACCACCTGACCCTGAGACACACAGGTAGGGACACGCCCAACCACCTGACCCCGAGAGACACAGGTAGGGACACGCCCCACCACCTGACCCCGAGAGACACAGGTAGGGACACGCCCAACCACCTGACCCCGAGAGACACAGGTAGGGACACGCCCCACCACCTGACCCCGAGAGACACAGGTAGGGACACGCCTGACCACCTGACCCCGAGACACACAGGTAGGGACACGCCCCACCACCTGACCCCGAGAGACACAGGTAGGGACACGCCTGACCACCTGACCCCGAGAGACACAGGTAGGGACACGCCCCACCACCTGACCCCGAGAGACACAGGTAGGGACACGCCTGACCACCTGACCCCGAGACACACAGGTAGGGACACGCCCCACCACCTGACCCCGAGAGACACAGGTAGGGACACGCCTGACCACCTGACCCCGAGAGACACAGGTAGGGACACGCCCCACCACCTGACCCCGAGAGACACAGGTAGGGACACGCCTTACCACCTGACCCCGAGAGACACAGGTAGGGACATGTCGACCACCTGACCCCGAGAGACACAGGTAGGGACATGTCGACCACCTGACCCCGAGACACACAGGTAAGAACACGCCAGTCTGACCTTGAAGGCTCGAGGACGCCCAATCTGACTCCTGTTTCCCTCTCAGCTCTCCGTAAGAACCGACTTCAGGGATTAGTCGGATCTGGAGGTCAGAGGTCGTTCTCTGTAGAACGGGCAGCCAATCACATCAGCCCCACCTCTCCCCGCCGCAGCCCGTTACCTCAGCAACACCTGGACCCGAGCTCCGCCCTCAAGAGGAAGCCGGCCTATGCGAGCACAGCGCAGAGGGCGTGGAGGATGGGGAAGATGCATGTGATTGGTAGCTTCAGCAGCTCAGAGGAGGATCTAGTGACCACGCCCGAGTACAACAGCTGCGACGAGCCTGACAGTGAGTGGCTACATGCTAACTGCTTGCAACATCAAGCTAGGTGGCTACATGCTAATAAGTAAATGAGGCTTTGGATGAAAGCGCTATATAAAAGCAAATGGGGCTTAGACGGCTACATGCTAGCTACATGCTAACTGCTAGCTAGATGAGGCTAGGTGGCTACATGCTAACAGCAGTGTCAAAGAGCTTTAGTAGTGTATAATGGATTAAAAGAACAACAGGTGCAGGTCTGCAGGAAGTCATGGCTCACTAGCTTTTTTCCTGGAGCTTTTGACCACACCCCATTGGCCTTCTTTAGAGATTATAACTTGCTCGGTTGTCACGTGACACTGTGTCTCAGAGCCTACATTATTATTTATTATTCCCATTGGGAAGCAACTCAGCTGTTTTTATTCTCCAGCAGTAAAAGACAGAAATAAAACTTTTAAATGTTGACCTTTTATTTTTATACGACATCATGACAACATTTATCAAAGGTTAGTTTACTAACCTTATTATGGAAATATTTCATAGATTATATACAAAAGTCAGAAGTGTATTAAAGCAGTGACTTTACATTAAATAGAATATGAAGGGTTCTTTGTTGACAGAGAGGAAAGAGGGAGAGCAGAGTGACAGTGGAGACATGTAATGAGCTCAGTGTGATAATCTGCTTACAGCAGCTTCATCAGAGGGTTCCTGCTAGAACAACGTACTCGTGTTGTGAACATGTTCTTTCTCATATCTGCTGCGGTGAATATGACTGTATCACTACATCCCAGCCCCGACCACACTGCACATTTAAAGTGTGACGATCCAACTCTTACCTGTAAAATATGTTAAATAACACTGAGCCGCAGGAAGAGCAGGTGACCTGATATCCTGCTCACAGCAGTAAAGTTAAATAGGAGAGAGCCACTCAGGCCTCTTCATTAAGAGGTTTTAACACTGAGCTTTACTCCAGCGGGGTGTGCTGTTTAAATAAAGACAGAACATTTTAATCTGTGCATCATTTCTTCATGAACAGTTCACCAAACTAATAACAGATCATTTTGGCTGCCTAGGGCTGGGCACAAAACAGTAAAGATAATTATCACAATATAATTTTCCTCACTAACATCAATATTTTGTTAATAAATGTTTTAATTCATTTGAATAATGGACGAATCAGCACTTAATTTTTCTATCAAGATATTAATGTTGAGGAAAAGAGATTTTACTAATCATATTTGTTAAAAACAGATTTTATCAGAACAGTTCTGAATGTTCTGACTCAGGTTTGTTTACTGATCCACTGTTTGTTCTGACCAGAAAGTTTAAAACCACATTAACTTTCACTCAGGAGCAAAAATCAGAATTTAAACCTGGAAGAAATAAAGATTTGACTTTTATCCTGATAATTATTGATATCTAATGATGTCAATGATGACATTTTTGGCCGTGTCGCCCTGCTGACAACTGTCACTGAGCTGCTTTAGTACTGAAGACATGTTGGAGGGTTCTCAGGTTCTGAAGTGTTCCGGTTCCTGTACGTAGTGAGTTCCACTGTGTAGGTTCATCGCCAGGCGTACCTGCTGCATGTTTATCAAGTGAAAGACACAAGGCTGCACAAGTCAGAAACTTTTTTATTAAAATCAATATTTATCAGTTCTGGTTTTAAAACGTAATAAAGAATGGACGATACACAGGTTCTCTCCTGTTCCGTTCAGTTCTGTTTTAACACAATATCTCACTTCACTGTTCCTTGTTGGTCCAGACCAACTCTGTGACACTATTTACCCAACAGTTTCATGTTCCGTATGGTTCTGTTAGTGGTTTGAAGATGAGGAAGGTGAAATAAATTGCAATGGTACGGTTCTTGTTGTGGGAAAAGATCCCAGCGGGCGTAAAGAGGTTCCTCCATCTGTTGTTATGGTTACCCATACAGCTCATGTTCTACATGGTACTTTGCTCGTGCTCTTAAATCTCTAGTTGATATGTTCCTACGGGTTCTCCTCTGCTTCTCTCTCCCATACGGTTCTGCCACAGTTTCATAAGGTTCTGTTTCTGTTCTATGTGGCTCTTCTGTAGTTCTATAGAGTTTAATGTCCCAGGTTCTGCATGGTTCTAATAGTCATGTGTCTGCCTTTGCTACTGTTCTAAAAGCTGTGGTCTTTACAGTTTCTCTGGGGGTTCTGTCATTTTTTTTTAATAAGGTTCCTTATTTAGATTAAAGGGTAATGTTATGGTTCTGGTGCTCTGTGTGGTTCCACAACTGTTCTCCATGGTTCTGTTGTTCTGTGGTGCTCTACTGTTGTTGCTGTGGGTTCTGTCACATGTTCCAAAGGATTCGGCACATGTTCTTTATGATTCTCCTGATGTTCAGGTCCTGTTCTATTGTGTACAGCCTTTCTATGATGTTCTTCTACTGTTCTTTAAGGTTCTTCTGTTGTTTCTGTAGGTTCTGTCACATGTTCCAAAGGATTCAGCACATGTTCTTTATGGTTCTCCCGATGTTCAGGTCATGTTCTGTTGTGTACAGCCTTTCTTCTATGAGGTTCTTCTGCTGTTGCTTGGGGTTCTGCCAGTGTTCTAATGAGGTGTTTTATGATATCCATCTGGTGTCTTGTGAGGTTCTTCTTGTGTTCCCCTGGGTTCTATTCCTGAGGCTTCTGTCACTGTTCTTTAGGGTTCTACAGGTCTGCAGGTCCTCTGTCAGGAAATCAGACGTCATGCTGGCAAGGTAATCTCCTGGCTGCGTGTCATTGGGCCAGAAGTCACCTGGTCAGAGATTATGAGCTCTGATTGGCTCACAGGGTTGTTGGCCCCTCCTCCTGGGTCTGCAGGTGACTGAGCAGCTCAGAGTCTCAGCTGCTGCCTTCCTGAAGACACTGGGAGAGAAACCAGAACCAAGAGACTGTTCAACAGAGCCTCAAACCGGACTGACCCGTGCCTGGAGAAGCCTGGAGGGTCCTGGAGGGTCCTGGAGATCCCGTCTGATAATCAGTTCCAGAGCAGAACAGAACCTGCTGCTCTGGAGCTGCCGGGTCTCTGAATCCCCGTCTCTCCTGCCGCCTAAGTGGATTAAAAGAGGAGAGTGTGGATTACCGGCCTCCTGGAGTCACTGTGGGGAGACCAGAATAGAAACACCTGTTGACCAGTCAGACGGCAGCATGTCTGCACACCTGACAGCTGAACGCCACCACACCTGCTGGATTCCTTTGTGATCATCTCTGCGGTGAGAAGGAAGCTAGCTTTCAAGCTAACAATGAAACCCTGACAGACAGAACGATGGGCTCGGTGTTCTGATAATCTCATTACAGAGGAATGAACTGCTCTGCAGCCTGCAGGCAGAGTTCAGGGCAAATCTCACACAGTAGTGAGGAGGACTGGAGGAGAGCTTCAGGTCCTCCTCCTCCTCCTCTTCCTCCTTGTTCTTCATGGCGTTCAGACAGACATGTGAGTACAGTTGTGTGGATGTGTGTGAGTTTCAGACCCACCTGCAGGTTCAGACCTCTGCAGGTTCAGACCTCTGCAGGTTCAGACCTCTGCAGGTTCAGACCTCTGCAGGTTCAGACCTCTGCAGGTGAGTACAGTTGTGTGGATGTGTGTGAGATTCAGACCCACCTGCAGGTTCAGACCTCTTCAGGTTCAGACCTCTGCAGGTCCAGGCCCCTGCAGGTTCAGACCTCTTCAGGTTCAGACCTCTGCAGGTCCAGGACCCTGCAGGTTTGGACCTCTGCAGGTTCAGACCTCTGCAGGTCCAGGCCCCTGCATGTTCAGACCTCTTCAGGTTCAGACCTCTGCAGGTCCAGGACCCTGCAGGTTCAGACCTCTGCAGGTTCAGACCTCTGCAGGTCCAGGACCCTGCAGGTTCAGACCTCTTCAGGTTCAGACCTCTGCAGGTCCAGGCCCCTGCAGGTTCAGACCTCTTCAGGTTCAGACCTCTGCAGGTCCAGGACCCTGCAGGTTTGGACCTCTGCAATTTCAGACCTCTGCAGGTCCAGGCCCCTGCAGGTTCGGACCTCTTCAGGTTCAGACCTCTGCAGGTCCAGGACCCTGCAGGTTCAGACCTCTGCAGGTCCAGGCTCCTGCAGGTTCAGACCTCTGCAGGTTCAGACCTCTGCAGGTTCAGGACCCTGCAGGTTTGGACCTCTGCAGGTTCAGACCGCTATAGGTCCAGGACCCTACAGGTTCAGACCTCTGCAGGTCCAGGACCCTGCAGGTTCAGACCTCTGCAGGTTCAGACCTCTGCAGGTTCAGGACCCTGCAGGTTCAGCCCTCTGCAGGTTCAGACCTCTGCAGGTTCAGGACTCTGCAGGTTCAGTCCTCTGCAGGTTCAGACCTCTGCAGGTTCAGGACCCTGCAGGTTCAGTCCTCTGCAGGTTCAGACCTCTGCAGGTCAACTGTGAGAGCCGAGCTACAGGAGGTGGATCTAACACGGGGTGAGGCCCAGCAGCTAGCACAGGGTTTAGATCGGCAAATAAGTCTGGCATCGGGCCAAATGTTTTTCAAGTCAGTAGGCGGCGGGCCAGTTCAGCTCAGTCAGCAGTGCTCAGGAGTCCCGGTCCAAGGGTTGTGAGTTCAGTTGCTGCTGGGATTATTTTCTGACTGTGAAGAGATCATTTACATGTTCACCGTTAAGCATGTGCAGGAGCGTGTTCCTCCCGGCGATCGGCCCACGTCAGCCTGTGGAGCTTATTTTCATTTCCCCAGCACCTCCATCAGAGGAACTTCCTGCGTTTCTCATTCAGGGGAATCCGACCTGACGTTTTCTGTCACTTTGTTTTTACAGAGGTGTATCAAGCAAGCCAGAGACTCTTTAGAACTTCCTTCAGAACTTTTCAAAGTAAAAGCTCTCAATTCAACACGACACAAAGTAGTGCTGCAAAGACGTTCTCATGCTTTTATTTTGTAGGCTCAATCACTTAAGAGGAAGTGATTATGTGAGTAACTTTTGCAGTCATGACTCAGAACTGTTTCAGCACCAGCCGCTATAATGTTTTGTTTTTTTTGCCGCTATCGAAGTAATCGGGCCGCGGGCCGGGTATTTTTGCTGGCCGGCCAGCTTTGGCCCATGAGCCACCTATTTCTTTCACACAACGTTTCAGTTCTGCATTCTGCAATTAAAAAATTTCTCCTGCGAATCGTGTGGATCGGCTCTAGTCTTGATTTTAGGCTTCTGTTGTTGGATTTCATGAGTGTTGGAAACAGATGTTCATGTTTCGTTCTGTAGGCCAGTAAACCAGATCAGCAGAAGCCGGTTCAGTTAATCAGTGCTTGACCTCTGACCTCTGCTCTGTCTGGCTGCTAGGAGACATGGACAGCCAATGGTGGGATCATGGTTCCTGGCACGGCGAGCCTCCACCCATGTCTATGGTAGGACTAAGCCACGCCCCTTATTCCATCCATCATCTAACCCTAGCTCCCTGCCTCCCCCCTCTCCTGCCTCCATCAACTCTCTGCCTCCCCCTCTCCTGCCTCCATCAACTCTCTGCCTCCCCCTCACCTGCCTCCATCACTTGTCTGCCTCCCCCCTTACCTGTCTGCCTCCCCCCTCACCTGCCTACCTCCCTCCTCTCTGTCTGCCTCTCCCCTCACCTGTTTTCCTCCCCCCTCAATTGTCTGCCTCCCCCTCACTTCCCTGCCTCTCCCCCACCTGTTTTCCTCCCCCTCATCTGTCTGCCTCCCTCTCACCTGCCTCATCACCTGTCTGCCTCCCCCCTCATCTGTCTGCCTCCCCCCTCATCTGTCTGCCTCCCCCCTCACCTGCCTACCTCCCTCCTCTCTGTCTGCCTCTCCCCTCACCTGTTTTCATCCTCCCTCAATTGTCTGCCTCCCCCTCACTTCCCTGCCTCTCCCCCCACCTGTTTTCCTCCCCCCTCACCTGCCTCATCACCTGTCTGCCTCCCCCCTCATCTGTCTGCCTCCCCCTCACCTGCCTACCTCCCTCCTCTCTGTCTGCCTCTCCCCTCACCTGTTTTCCTCCCCCCTCAATTGTCTGCCTCCCCCTCACTTCCCTGCCTCTCCCCTCACCTGTTTTCCTCCCCCCTCATCTGTCTGCCTCCCCCTCACCTGCCTGCCTCCCCCTCACCTGCATCCCTCTACTGTCTGCCTTCCCCCTCACCTGTTGCCTCCCCCCTCACCTCCCTGCCTCCCCCTCACCTATTTGCCTCCCCCCTCACTACCCTACCTCCCCCCTCACCTGTCTGCCTCCCCCCTCACCTGCATCCATCACCTGCCTGCCTCCCCCTTACCTGCCTGCTTCCCCCCTCAACTGTCTGCATCCCCCCTCACTTGTCTGCCTCCCCCTCACCTGCCTGCCTCCCCCTCACCTGCCTGCCTCCCCCCTCACCTGCCTACCTCCCTTCTCTTCTATCTGCTTTCTCCTCACCTGTTTTCCTCCCCCCTCAATTGTCTGCCTCCCCCTCACTTCCCTGCTTCCCCCTCATCTGCCTGCCTCCCCCTCACCTGCATCCCTCTACTGTCTGCCTTCCCCCTCACCTGTTTGTCTCCTCCCTGCCTCCCCCCTCACCTGTTTGCCTCCCCCCCTTACTACCCTGCCTCCCCCCTCACCTGTCTGCCTCCCCCCTCACCTGCATCCATCACCTGCCTACCTCCCTCTTACCTGCCTGCCTCCCCCTCACCTGCATCCCTCTACTGTCTGCCTTCCCCCTCACCTGTTTGCCTCCTCCCTGCCTCCCCCCTCACCTGTTTGCCTCCCCCCTCACCTGTCTGCCTCCCCCCTCACCTGCATCCCCCTCATCTGTTTTCCTCCCCCCTCACTTGTCTGCCTCCCCCTCACCTGCATCCATCACCTGTCTGCCTCCCCCTCACCTGCATCCATCACCTGTCTGCCTCCCCCTCACCTGTTTTCCTCCCCCCTCACTTGTCTGCCTCCCCCTCATTTGCCTGCCTCCCCCTCACCTGTTTGCCTCCCCCCTCCCCTTCTTCCTCCCCCCTCACTTGTCTGCCTCCCCCTCACCTGCCTGTCTCCCCCCTGACCTGCCTGACTCCCCCTCAACTGCCTCCATCAACTGTCTGCCTCCCCCCTCACTTGCCTGCCTCCCCCTCTCCTGCCTGCCTTCCCCTCATCTGTTTTCCTCCCCCCACTTGTCTGCCTCCCCCTCACTTGCCTGCCTCCCCCTCACCTGCGTCCATCACCTCTCTGCCTGCCCCTCACCTGTTTTCCTCCCCCCTCACTTGTCTGCCTCCCCCTCCCCTTCTCCCTCCCCCCTCACCTGTCTGCCTCTCCCCTCACTTGCTTGCCTCCCCCTCACCTGCATCCATCACCTGTCTGCCTCCCCTCACCTGTTTTCCTCCCCCCTCACTTGTCTGCCTCCCCTCACCTGCATCCATCACCTGTCTTCCTCCCCCTCACCTGTTTTCTTTCCCCCTCACTTGTCTGCCTCCCCCTCATTGCCTGCCTCCCCCTCACCTGTTTGCCTCCCCCTCTCCTTCTCCCTCCCCCCTCACTTGTCTGCCTCCCCCCTCACCTGTCTGCCTCCCCTCTTAATCTTTTGCTTTTTCTTTCTTGTAATGTTTCACTGTGAGGACTTCCACCGGGTTCTACATGCCATGTAGCACCACAGCCGGGAAAAGAGATGAAGTGTCGGCGTGACACAGAGGAAAGCGCAGCGCTGAACGTTTCTGACTTTAGAAAGCAGATTCTGACTTTAGAAAACAGATTCTGACTTTAGAAAGCAGAGTCTGACTTTTGAAAGCAGTTGAAGTGTTGGCATGACAGAGAGGAAAGCGCCGCGCTGAACGTTTCTGACTGTAGAAAGCAGATTCTGACTTTAGAAAGCAGTTGAAGTGTCAGCATGACAGAGAGGAAAGCGCCGCGCTGAACGTTTGTGACTTTGGAAAGCAGATTCAGACTTTAGGGGATTCTGACTTTAGAAAGCAGTTTGTGACTTTTAGATAGCAGTTGAAGTGTCGGTGTGACAGAGAGGAAAGCGCTGCGCTAAACGTTTCTGACTTTAGAAAGCAGATTCTGACTTTAGAAAGCAGATTCTGACTTTAGAAAGCAGAGTCTGACTTTTGAAAGCAGTTGAAGTGTTGGTGTGACAGAGAGGAAAGCGCCTCGCTGAACGTTTCTGACTTTAGAAAGCAGATTCTGACTTTAGAAAGCAGTTTCTGACTTTAGAAAGCAGTTGAAGTGTTGGCGTGACAGAGAGGAAAGCGCAGAGCTGAACGTTTCTGACTTTGGAAAGCAGATTCAGACTTTAGGGGATTCTGACTTTAGAAAGCAGTTTGTGACTTTTAGATAGCAGTTGAAGTGTCGGCATGACAGAGAGGAAAGCGCAGAGCTGAGCGTTTCTGACCTCAGAAAGCAGTTGAAGTGTCGGCGTGACAGAGAGGAAAGCGTAGAGCTGAACGTTTCTGACTTTGGAAAGCAGATTCAGACTTTAGGGGATTCTGACTTTAGAAAGCAGTTTGTGACTTTTAGATAGCAGTTGAAGTGTCGGCGTGACAGAGAGGAAACCGCCTCGCTGAATGTTTCTGACCTCAGAAAGCAGTTGAAGTGTCGGTGTGACAGAGAGGAAAGCACCGCGCTAAACATTTCTGACTTTAGAAAGCAGTTTCTGACTTTAGAAAGCAGTTGAAGTGTCAGCATGACAGAGAGGAAAGCGCCGTGCTGAACGTTTCTGACTTTAGAAAGCAGAGTCTGACTTTCGAAAGCAGTTGAAGTGTTGGCGTGACAGAGAGGAAAGTGCAGAGCTGAACGTTTCTGACTTTGGAAAGCAGATTCAGACTTTAGGGGATTCTGACTTTAGAAAGCAGTTTGTGACTTTTAGATAGCAGTTGAAGTGTCGGCGTGACAGAGAGGAAACCGCCTCGCTGAATGTTTCTGACCTCAGAAAGCAGTTCAAGTGTCGGCATGACAGAGAGGAAAGCGCAGAGCTGAACGTTTCTGACCTCAGAAAGTAGTTGAAGTGTCGCGTGACAGAGAGGAAAGCGCTGCGCTAAACGTTTCTGACTTTAGAAAGCAGATTCTGACTTAGAAAGCAGAGTCTGACTTTCGAAAGCAGTTGAAGTGTTGGCGTGACAGAGAGGAAACCGCCGAGCTGAACGTTTCTGACTTTAGAAAGCAGATTCTGATTTAGAAAGCAGTTTCTGACTTTAGAAAGCAGTTGAAGTGTCAGCATGACAGAGAGGAAAGCACCGCGCTGAAAGTTTCTGACTTTAGAAAGCAGAGTCTGACTTTCGAAAGCAGTTGAAGTGTTGGCGTGACAGAGAGGAAAGCGCAGAGCTGAACGTTTATGACTTTGGAAAGCAGATTCAGACTTTAGGGGATTCTGACTTTAGAAAGAAGTTTGTGACTTTTAGATAGCAGTTGAAGTGTCGGCGTGACAGAGAGGAAACCGCCTCGCTGAATGTTTCTGACCTCAGAAAGCAGTTCAAGTGTTGGCGTGACAGAGAGGAAAGCGCCTCGCTGAATGTTTCTGACTTTAGAAAGCAGTTTATGACTTTTAGAAAGCAGTTGAAGTGTCGACATGACAGAGAGGAAACCGCAGAGCTGAACGTTTCTGACTTTGGAAAGCAGATTCAGACTTTAGGGGATTCTGACTTTAGAAAGCAGTTTCTGACTTTAGAAAGCAGTTTCTGACTTTAGAAAGCAGTTGAAGTGTCAGCATGACAGAGAGGAAAGCGCCGTGCTGAACGTTTCTGACTTTAGAAAGCAGAGTCTGACTTTCGAAAGCAGTTGAAGTGTTGGCGTGACAGAGAGGAAAGTGCAGAGCTGAACGTTTCTGACTTTGGAAAGCAGATTCAGACTTTAGGGGATTCTGACTTTAGAAAACAGTTTGTGACTTTTAGATAGCAGTTGAAGTGTCGGCGTGACAGAGAGGAAACCGCCTCGCTGAATGTTTCTGACCTCAGAAAGCAGTTGAAGTGTCGGCGTGACAGAGAGGAAAGCGCCTCACTGAATGTTTCTGACTTTAGAAAGCAGTTTATGACTTTTAGAAAGCAGTTGAAGTGTCGGCATGACAGAGAGGAAAGCGCAGAGCTGAACGTTTCTGACCTCAGAAATTAGTTGAAGTGTCGCGTGACAGAGAGGAAAGCGCTGCGCTAAACGTTTCTGACTTTAGAAAGCAGAGTCTGACTTTCGAAAGCAGTTGAAGTGTTGGCGTGACAGAGAGGAAAGCGCCGAGCTGAATGTTTCTGACTGTAAAAAGCAGATTCTGACTTTAGAAAGCAGATTCTGACTTTAGAAAGCAGTTGAAGTGTCAGCATGACAGAGAGGAAAGGGCCGCGCAGAACGTTTCTGACTTTAGAAAGCAGAGTCTGACTTTATAAAGCAATTTCTGACTTTAGAAAGCAGTTGAAGTGTCGGCGTGACAGAGAGGAAAGCGCCGCACTGAACGTTTCTGACT